CTTTATTGTGTACAGCTTTGTTGGTTGCCACACCCAAAGCCCACACCCTGACTGCACTGTTCTGTTCCAGGAGTTCATCCCCCACATGGCGAAGGAATACGGTTTCCAGTACGAGCTGGTCCAGTACAAATGGCCTCGCTGGCTGCACCAACAGACCGAGAAGCAGAGGATCATCTGGGGTTACAAGATCCTCTTCCTGGACGTGCTGTTCCCGCTCGCTGTCGACAAGATACTGTTCGTGGACGCTGACCAGGTTCGCTCATACGTCGCTGTGCAAACAGTGTTATCGCGCTGCCACTGGACAAATATTTGTTCTTTCACCATTCATCTCTTGTTGCTGACGATTCAAAGGAAACTAGACGGAGAAACGGCCAACCTCAAACAAACTGTGGTAGATATGGGGCGACTGTGAAGCCCCAAAAAGTTTGGAAGTTTCTCAAGTTTCCATAAAACTTGAGCAACTTTCACCTCCGTGTGGTTTTCGTCCACATGTCGCATTTTAGGACTTTGTGTTGGGTTCTCACACTAACATAGATGTTCAGACAGTCAGAAGGGATCTACTGTTTAAATAATTCACTAATCATTTAAGTCAAGAATTCATTCTCACATGTGAATACTTTCTGCCTTTCTCTCTCTAAAAGAACATGTTTTTTTTACTTTATTGTGTCATTTTCTCATCAAACTCCTCAGAGAATAATCGTTAGTAGCTGCCCTAAAGTAATCTTCATGTATTGTTGACAACTGAATCCCTTCAGATTGTTCGCACCGACCTAAAGGATCTGCGTGACTTCGACCTGGAGGGAGCTCCGTACGGTTACACCCCGTTCTGCGAGAGCCGGAGGGAGATGGACGGCTATCGCTTCTGGAAGTCTGGATACTGGGCGAGCCACCTCGCCGGACGTAAATACCACATCAGGTACGAGCTGACAGCTCAGCTGCAGGTTAACAATCAAGTGTCAACAGCAGCTCAACAACAATCTCACAGGAGTTGCTTTCACTTCGTTTTTCCAATCCATATTTTATGCTTTCTTGCATATTTCATGTGTTACAATCATTTATCCTGTGCAGCGCCCTGTATGTGGTTGACCTGAGAAGGTTCAGGAAAATAGCTGCAGGAGATCGACTCCGAGGCCAGTACCAGGGGCTCAGCCAAGACCCCAACAGCCTCTCAAACCTCGACCAGGTCTGTGACTGACCGTTCAGCGCTTTAATGTGTCTCTGAGATCTGATCCTCAGGACTAGCACATTTTTTATCAGCTGAAATTGTTGTCTTCAGAGTTTTTCTTGGTGCAGATGGATTCAGTACTAATGACAGTTTTGTGTGGTTCTGGTCTATTGTGAAAACATTCCCTCTAATCTGAGTTTGGTTGTTGAACAGCAGCCTTTTCTTAGTGTCACTTTGCTTGTTGTTGAATGAAATATATTGTTTCCACGCCTCAGACTCTGTGATGTCCTTGAACACTGTGGCAGCTTTAAAAAATAACCTCTGATTGTAGCTGCATTACTGCACAACTGACATAAAACACAAAGCCAGCCGGCTGTAGCGATGCAGAGAGAGCTCCTAAATCTTTTGTGCAGATTATGACTCAACCTTTATAACATGACGTTTGATATTAATGATAAGCTTTGGTCTCATGTGAGTCCTTAAGTTAAGCTCTGTGTCTTCTCGTCTCTTCTTCTCTCACGGGTGTCTTTGTTCTTTTCTCTTTTTTTTTCTTCAGGATCTTCCCAACAACATGATCCACCAGGTGCCCATAAAGTCTCTGCCCCAGGAGTGGCTGTGGTGCGAGACCTGGTGTGATGACAGCTCCAAGAAGAGCGCCAAGACGATAGATCTGGTAACAGCAGACTGTGTGTCTCTCTGTAGACGTCAGAGGTCTGAGCCGCTGAGGTCAGGACGAAACAAAGCAGCATTTACATTTTGACAAATTTGCGACACCTTATAGAGGACTGACAGGGTTATCTATAGAGTACAGTGCCTTCTAACAGCCACTAGAGGGCCGACAGGCTCACTGTGAGGAAATATTACATGAATGAGTTTCTTTTTGGATAAATTTAGTGATTTGTACCAAAAAACAAGAAAACTTAGATACAGAAATAACACCATAAAGGTTAAGATTGGGGTGAAAATACTTTAGAGTGAGGCTCTAACAGAGGAAAGTTATTGACACTAAACTTTTATAAATCTGCTGTCTTCATAGAGTTCAGATTTTTCCGGCAGCAAGTGAGCTTATAATATATATAATATTTAGTTGTGTGTTTTATATTTACTCAGAGTTTATGAGTTCAAGTTTTCATAATATTGACAGAAAGTCGAGTTTTATCCACTGCATTACTGTTTACAGCCAACTTTCACTTCACCCTCTGAACTCTGAAATCCAGCAGCAGCAGCTTTAAAAGGCCTGTTATATATATATATTAATTGCTGAAATTCTGCCATTTATTAAAGACAAAAACAGGGAAAAAAATCGTTGGACTTTCAACTTAACATCTGTGACGTTCTGTTGAAAAATGTCATCCAATCTGTCTTTTAAGTAGTGATATTTCATCCAAATTAGTTTAATTTTACGTTACATTTACATTTTTTATCAAAATAAACCATATGCACCAAATTTTGTTTAAAAAACAAAAACAAAAAAAGGGTGAGTTACATCTGACATTCATGTGACAAATCTCAGGCGTCTTCGCTGACCTGGGATGAAGTGCAGGCTGTTGACACTGTAAAGTGGCTCAAATTTTAAAGTTACTGTTTTGTGGACAATTTAACACCAAAGATTTTAACAACAGTCTGTCACAAAGTATGTCACATTTCTGCAAATACTTTATTATATGTTTAACACTGAAGAAATGACACTTTACTACAATGTAAAGGAGTCAGTGTGCAGCTTGTATAACGGTGTCAATTTACTGTCCCCTCAAAATAATCAGTACACAGCCATTAATGTCTAAACCCATCTATCATTATCTATACACCGCTTAATCCTCACGAGGGTCATGGGGGTCTGGAGTCTATCCCAGCTGACTCAGGGTGAAGGCAGGTTCACCCTGGACAGGTAACCAGTCTATCACAGGGCTACACTTAGAGACAGACAACCAAGCACACTCACATTCACACCTACGGACAATTTACAATCACCAATTAACCTCAACATGTTTTTGGACTGTGTGGGAGGAAGCCGGAGAACCCGGAGAGAACGCAGAAAGATCCCAGTGTCCTCACCAGGACGCGAACCGGCGACCTTCTTGCTGCAAGGCAACAGTGCTAATCACTGAGCCACCTTACAGCCCTAATGTCTAAACTGCTGGCAACAAAAGTGAATATACCCTTAAGTAAAAATGTCTAAATTGGACCCAGTTAGCCATTTTCCCTCCCCAGTGTCATGTGACTCGTTAGTGTTACAGGTCTCAGGTGTGAATGGGAAGCAGGTGTGTTACATTTGGTGTCATCGCTCTCACAACTCTCTCATACTGGACACTGGAAGTTTAACATGGCACCTCATGGCAAAGAACTCTCTGAGGACCTGATCAAAAGAATTGTTGCTCTCCATAAAGATGGCCGAGGCTTTAGGAAGTGGACTCACTTTTGTGAGCTCTGTTAGGAATAACAGCTTCCCTTTCTTGGCCAGTGTAACAACCCCATGACCAAGGAGCCCAAGCTGCAGGCAGCGGTGAGGATCGTGGCCGAGTGGACCGACTACGACCAGGAGATTAAACGTCTGCAGACCAGAGTCCAGGAGGGAGTGAACCACACGTCAGGGAAGCAGCAGGGAACAGGTACGCCACACTCACAACCGCACAGACACACAATCTGCATCAATCCCTTCTGACGGATGTTTGTCTCCTGTCTGCCAGGTGGTCACACAGAGTTGTGAGGATCATCGGGTCACTGCGATGAGGCACTGAGCTGGACTCTGTTTAAAGAGTCGGCTTCATGAAGAGGCTCCTCTCACGCCTCTGGGACTGCTGACGTAACGACCACAAACCAGTGCTGAGTGGTTCAAACGACGCTCTTTCTTCTTTTTCTAGGTTTTTTTTGTGGATCGAAGCGGTGAGAATGTATTTTGTGAAGCGAATCATGATTATGAATTCTATTTTTATGTTTGTTTTTATCCCCCGCTGTAATGGATGTCAGTTGTTTTTTTTATTATTTTGCACTGATTGGGATCGTGGTTGCGGCTGTGGTTGAAGCACAAAAGGGAGAAGGACTCCGGAACATCTGGTTAACTTTGGTGTTTATCTCTTTACAAGTCGCACATCTGGTGGCGAGAAAGATTTTCTGCTCACTCACGGGGGGTAACAAGCTGTTGGGCGAAGGTGTAAGTTTATATAAATATCTGGAAAAATCACAGATAATTTGCCAGACTTTTAGTGACCAAACAAGACTTTAAGGGAAAATGTATAAATTTGTTAAAGAGTGGCGACGCTCTCGATCGAATCCTCAGTTTCTGGTGGAATATGACTCTCAGGTAAAGATGTCGGAAGCTTGTGTGGTTTGCAGCACAAAGTATAAAAGCAAAAGAGAAAAGTTTGTTTTACTGTAATGAAAGAGCAGCTGTGACAACGGCTGGGGAAGAAAAAAATTCTGTTTCTCGGGAACATCTATGGATTTGTCGTTCCTGTTTTTGGCTGTCAGATATTTTTGTTCAATAAAAATACCCAGTAAAGAGGCGACCTCATACATGTTTTCAGGTACTTTCCTAGAAAATTGGTTCCTCCTGAGGGTGTTAAAAAAAGATTTCAAAATCACGTGAGTCTGCTGCTCCTACATACTGTACGTTCACTCAGTCATGCAGTTTATACATGGAGATTACGTTGATGTATTCTGCTACTAGCCTGTATTAAATTACTAAAAAAAAATAACCAGATTTTTGTGCCGTCCGTCTCTCCCTCTTGTTTCATTGTCGTCCACATTTACCCGCTGCTTTTTCAAACGCTTGCGTTGCACTTTAAACCGTAAGACTTCCTGATTCTGCTCCTCGACACACAGAACTGGTTACTGGAAGGTTTCAGACTTTTATTGTGATCCATTTGAAAAAAGGTTTTACAAAAGGTAACATTCAATTTTTACACCAATTCATTAAAAAAAAAATCACTTAAAATAAGGGTTTGATACAACAAATTCAGTTAACTAAGTAATGGCTTCTATAAACAATGTGGAAAATAAGATAATATACATGTAAATGAATGCTACAAACATGAGGACAAACTGAGGAAGGGATTACATTAATTAAAATTAAAAAAAAAAAATAAAACATCAAACAATGGCATGATTGTTTTCCTTTTTGACGTGAGTGACATCAGGCCAGAATCTCCAACAGAGCAGTTATTGCAAAAAAATAATAATAATCCCACATCATCTGACGCCCAACTGGAATGTTGGATGACAAAAACTGCCCTGGAGGGGCCGCTGATTCGTTGCATCCGTTTGTCTTCGCGTGGCGACATCGCCGAAACGTTCTCCTCCTGCAGCCGTGCGTGCGCAGCTGACAGTGACAATAAAGAGCCCTGCAGGAATCCAGAGGTTAACCACTGTCCACTTTTTTTAAAATCTGTGATCACCGCCGTGTGGCTTTTCGATTTAGACGACACCCAGATCAGTGAAGAGACATGGAAAACTGAAATACACGTGAATTTACAACAAAAATATGCTAAAAAGGAAAAAAAAAAAAAAGAGAGAGAAACAAATAGAGACGTGTTTCCTTTTAAACGTGGTTTAAGCACAGCGGACGGCGTGCTCGTGAGGACAGATGGGACATTCTGCTCCGACTGACCCGATGCTGGAAGAAGTTGCTCCTTATTGTCCCCAGAGCGGCTTGCATCTGTTTCCCCCCTCCCAGACCAAGTGGAAAACAACTTCAGATCAGTTAACGGTGGCACTGTCGTCCTACTCTGACCATCAGCTGAACCTGCGCTCTGCTTGTGGCAGCATGACGTCGGCGCCGCTGCCAGGTTTGGCTGTCAGTGATTGGGCGACAGCTGCTGCATATTTATCAAAGAAAGAGCAGATGTTGGAAAATGCGCCTATTTCATGTCTCGCCAAAGTCACTGCCAGCAGAGTAACATTAACATAAAAACTGGAAAAGGGCCTTTCTTTGTCTACCAGCACCTCTAAAACTCATCAACATGTTTGTTTGTTGAATTTGGTACAAAAACCAAAGTATAATAAGGACAATTCACCATTCTGTGTGAGGTGGTACCAGACTATGCTCTGGTTGGGGGGAAGGTTACTTCCTGGAGTCTTGAGATACAGCTGATGAGCTTTTTGAGGTGCTGATACCCTCTTTGGACAGTCTTTCCCAGGTTTTGTGCTGGGGCTGCTTGTGGCATCAAACTCCAAGCAAAGACAGCGAATCTTTTCCCAAAATGTCGACCTATTCCTTTAACAACAGAAGCAGACGTGCAGCAGTTCGGCGTGGACGTCGGCGCTGCTTCAAACAGAGCGCTCGGCATCGTCAGAACTCCACGGAGACCAAAAACTCTGTCGTCCCGAAGAGGTTCACTACTTCCTTTCCTTCTTCCCAAAAATTCATCTCCTCCATTTCACAAACACATTTATCTCCATTACAGTTACATCATCTGCAAAGCTTTAAAAAATAAAACAAAAAAAAAGAACACATGCACCTCCAGCATTTTATACAAGAGTATAATACAAAATAAGGCATTTCATCGTGTTGAGTACTCATGTCGTGTCGTCTTGAGTGTTAATGCGTGTTTTTCTCGTTTGTGTGTGTGTGTGTGTGTGTGTGTGTGAGTGAGTGTGTTTACGCATGTGTACATAGCAACCACATTTTAATGTTATTTCTTTTTGCCCGCCTATAAAAAGACTGCAAAAAACAAAGTCAAGATAACTCTTACTTAAAATATATATATTTGTCATATATATTTACGTATATATTCATATGTAAAAAAAAAAACAAAACCAAAAAAAAATAACAAAACAAAAAAAAACAAAAAAAAAACCTAAAACAAAAAAAAGGGGGGGAAGAGGGAGAAAAAGCCCAAGAGGTCCCTGTGGCAGGCTAGTTCTCAAAAAGCCACCTCACCCCAATCGCCCCCTCATTCCATGACCTCACCGGGCGCCACGGTGACCAACTGCAAAGGGATCTCCTGATTGGCTACGAGGTCGTGGGTGGTGGCGGTCTGGAGGATGAGCGTGGTTCCGTCGGCGGTGATGACGGCGTCGGTGCTGGGCGGAGACGTGGAGGAGGGGACGCCGCCCTTTTTATTCTGGTGAGTCTTTATGTGCTTGGCCAGGTGGTCGCTCCGCATGAACCTCTTGGAGCACTCCGTGCACACGAACTTCTTCTCTCCTGCGAGGTTGGGCAGACAAACGAGCATCAGACAGAGTCCAGGAGCAAACGAAGGACTGACGTGACTTTGTTGTGTTTATGTGTCTGTTGCCAATAAGTGCTGCTGTATCTGTTTAGGACGAATCAGAAACAAGTTCCTGTGGATTGCTTGGTCACCCCTCCAGTGAAAAGCACGTTTGTTTCATCTTGTTAACATGTTCAAATTGTTATGTTTTTTTTATGCTAGAAGACAAATCATGAGCAAAATAGGCAGTCAACACCATGGCTGAGCATTTCCACCTGACAAAAATTCTGACATTATTCTTCCTCAAAACAGGTTTCCAGCGCAAACATGTGTGGCTGACTACACAACTCCAACGTTACAACTCACTATTGTGTAGCATACAGTAGCTTCACAGTGTTTGAGTAGAGACGTAGGCGAGCTGGTGAGAGGAGAGAGAGAGAGAGAGGGGGGGGGCAGGGACTAGAGCTCTGCATCGGGATGCTGCAGGTCTCACGGGTCCCGTCATGTATCTCACAGGCGGTTTTAACCTTGCTGCAGGCGATCAAAAAATAAACGGTGGGTACTGGGGATTCATCGCAACTAGAAGGAGGGAGACAGCAAGTGATGCTGAAAAGAGGATTAAAGCGGGTTTTTAACAATATAAAATCAAAGCAAAGGAAGTCTGACATGTGGATAGAAACTCCCAAGCTTTGAGATGTGGATTTCGTTGCGAGCATGTGCAGAGTTGATATAGAAGGAGCACAAAGCTGCCACCTCTGGGATGAGGCAAGGACTGCTCCGTTCTCCTGAGTCTCCTTGAAAAAACACACATCTCCCTGCCAGATACTATCAGAAAATATGAATAAAACAAGAAGTACTGCTTACTACATACATTTTCAGGAGCGTAATTGTAGTTTACCAATAGGTATGGATCTTTTTAATAATAAGGCCACACAGTAACATCACATGGCTTCCCTGCAGGAAAGGGGGAGGGGCACTAAGTCCATGGATATATATTGATGTATGGTATGAGTGTTTGTGGGAGTGGACTTGCAAATTGCCCGAGCAGGCAGTCATTGTGAGAAATCTAGAGAGGGTGGGATTCAGAAACGGTGCAGCGCAGGACTCAAGCAGAAGACTTCATAGATCTGTATACTGTATAGCAGGGGTGTCGAATCCTGGTCCTGGAGGGCCACAATCCTGCATGTTTTAGACGTGTCCCTCTTCCAACACACCCAATTCAAATGATCAGCTCATCATCAAGCTCTGCAGAAGCCTGATAACAATCCTGATCATTTGAATCAGAGGGAAACATCTAAAACATGCAGGATTGTGGCCCTCTAGGACCAGGATTCGACACCCCTGCTCTAGAGGAAGCAACGGTGAAGAGCTCCATCCAAACTACAGCATTTTAAAGCACTGAAATGTCCTAACAATTGATACACAGAGATGAGTTTTTAAAGGGTTCATCAACAACCAGTGAGAGATTTTATGCAACACTTATGTAAAGCTGCTTGTATAGTTGGTGTTTATGTGTAAATGTTGGGCAACTTATTAATACTAACTAAAGAGTTTGTTGTCCCTACTTTTTTGTTTGTTTGTTTTTTAATTAAAAGTTCTTTAAGTCCTTGATGCATCTGTGTGGGATTCCTGCCTCAACCACAGGACAGTGACAGGATTTCATTGTGGGGTTCAAACAAAAACAAAAAAATCACATTTAAAAGTATTCATTAATGACATGTCTTTGTAGAAACGCTGCCCGACACGCTCTGGATAATAATCTGGATTCAAACAGCTCCATACAGAACAAAGAGTGTCCGTGAAAACTGCTGATGGCTGCAAACCAACAACGTACCAAAAACATTGTGTAACGTCCAAAGAACACAGTTGAAAAACTCTGTAAGACTGAAACATTAATAATGTTGAAATGGGACCGTGATACGAGCCGTCTTATCTTTTTGCTGATGAATCAAACCTGAGCTCCGTCCCACAACACAAAGCAGCACTGATTGATGTTGATGGAGACGCACACGGAGCTGGTAACTGATGACAAGAGTCCACAACACCTTCACTGTCACATTCCTACTGTCGCTAAATGCTTGCTCAGAGGGAATCCATATGTTTCTGTTTCAATATATTTTAAGACCTTGGCCGTACTAACGTGCCTTATGTTGTGACCTGGTGCCACATAAATAAAACTGAATGATTTAACAAACTGCACCATCTCACAGTTCTTCATAGGGGGCTGGATTTCTACATAAAAACACTTTAAACTTACCAAAAATTAGCCTACAGTGCCAATTAAAGAGTAGTTTGTCTCCACGGCCCCCCGACTATGTGTCACTTTATCTTTATCAGACCATCAGAGGAACAACCAAGAAACAGATTCACAAAACAAAACTGTTTTTCAGCAGAGCTAAAGAAAAATATTCAGTTTTCATTTCAGTCATGTACTTGACTGATAAACAGCAGGTTCATTTCTGTTCATCTAAATCATCAAAGCATTTTGTGGCACTAAATTAAACAGCATTAACTAATATTGCTGCTGCTGATCATATTTATCGGCTATGAAGGCATCATTAGTCACACCTCTCATGACTGAACACTGATTTAAAACAACGGTGTGGACAGCTGCAGGAAAACATCATAAGACATGAACATGTTTTAGCTGCAAAATCTAACAACGCGACAATTTCCTAAAAACTAATTAATTTGTGTAAACTGTGTCTGATCATCAGACAGAAGTTTTCTTGTCACTCTTCTCACATGAATGCGACTCATTTTCCCGTTAATCGATCCATCGATTGTTCTCTCTTTTACTCAACGGGTTGTCTGGTTTGTAAAATGACAGAAAATAGTTGATTATTTTTCTCCAAAGCCCAAAATCCTCTAATGTTCTGTCAACATTCCAAAAATATTCTGTTTACTGTCATAAAGTCGTAGAGAAACCAGAAAATACTCAAATTCAATAAGTTGGAATCAAAGGTTTTGACTTTTTCCTTTAAAAGTTTACTGCAATTAATCAATCATCACAATAATTGGTGGTAACTAATTCATTAATTGTGCAGTTCTAAAGAATGCACTGAAATTTAGCTCCACATATCACCCCGTTGATGATTCCCTTTTCATACGATAACACTAGAACCAAACAGACAAACAGTGTTGACGGATGTTGTCACCTGTGTGTGTCCTTCTGTGTCTCTGCAGCTCATCGCTTCGGGTGAACCTCTTCCCGCAGAACATCCAGTTGCAGACGAAGGGTCTCTCTCCGCTGTGCCAGCGCAGGTGAGCTCGGAGATGAGACGTCTTCCCGTAAACCTTCCCGCAGCCAGCGATGTGGCAGATGTGCTGCTTCTTCTTCCCCATGCCTGAACCTCTGTGAGACAAAGCAGAGAAGTGTGGAGTGAGCGAACAGCAGAAGTGGAGGAGTAGTACTTGATGACAGATGAACAAAAAACAAACAAGAAAACAGCATAACGTGGATGTACTGGAATGATGAGGCTTTTTTTGGTTCTCCTATTTGACAACAGTGACCGTAACAGCTGCACCTATGATCTGTATCTGTGGATGTGTTTTCAAAGCCCACCTTCCTCCAGACTCTTTGCAGTTGGGGCATGTGCAGGCTACTCTGCGGAGCCTCTTGCCCTCCCCGCTCGGCATCTCCATGTCCTCCTCTCCCATCTGAACACGCAGGTTGTTCAGGTCGCTGGGGTTCAGCGTGGACTCTCCACTCAGTTGCTGCTGCCACTCCTCAGAGTCCGGCTCCTCCTTTATCTGGATGCCTGAACCAGGGAGGAGAGAGGCAGAGGAAGGTTTAGGAGGTCTGTCAGTCAGCTAACAGCCTAAGATCTGCACACAAAAATTAAGAATTCCACCTATGGTCATACCGGCTGGACTGCCTCCATCCTCTCCCTGTGTGTACTGAACTCCACTTTGTGCTACGGAGTTAACTGTGACCGTCTGGAGGTTGGGTAGGCTGACCTGGCCTGTCTGGCCCAGGGGTAGTGTCTGGACTGGGGCTAAGGTCAACTGCTGGGCCTGGCCCTGCCCCTGGGGCAGCTGGAGCCCCTGGAGTGACTGGACACCCTGAACCTGGAGAGAGAAGGGATTATTTTAATCATTTGAAGTCTCTCACAGCACAGTTTGTAGGTCAGAAACACAGACACAGTCCTTAGAGCTCACCTGGAAGGTCTGCCACTGGATCTGGCCAGTAGCAGTGACAGTTTGGGCCTGGATGAGAAAGGTCCCTGGGTTGACCAGCTGTACACTCTGGAGAGTCTGACCTGCTGCAGTCAGGTCCTGGCCCTGAGCCACCTGGGCTACCTGCGCCTGACTGTCCCCCGACAGCTGCAGGATGGGTTGCGAGATAGTGGTGGCGTTGGCAGACGACACCTGCACAGTGAGGAACAGCGAAATAAATTAGAATCACACACAAATGCAAGTAACATTCATGACATGGTTATATGTGCGAGGCCCTGTAAAAGACATCGAACCCTAAACATGGAAATAAATTGCAAGTTTGTGCTTGTCCCTACTGGGTAAAGAATTTATTTGGCATTGAAAACACCAGGGTGGGTATTTCTAAACACTTGAAAGTTGGTTGCACAATATACATTCACAAGCTGTCTGCACATGAATGCACCACTGAAGCAGTCGACACTTTCAGTTGTTGTGATGAAGTAAATCAACTCATAAAAAGAAGAAAAAAAAGCAACATATAAAGACAAATCACCCCTGTTACTAGGAGGCAGACCACCCCAGCTAGGTGGGTTTGCCAAAATAAATTCAGGGACACATATGCGGACTCAAAATGTGCCTTTAGAGGGAGACCAGGTTTGAGTGTCAGTGTGACTGGTCCACCTCCAGTAAAGGCAACTCCTTTATTTGACAGAAATCTAGCATTTTCCTGTCAGTTAGGAGCATTTGCTAAACAAAACTGTCTATTGTGCTTGAGTAAGTTACACCACAATTAACAAAACTAGTTAAAATGTGATGTTCTGTTTTTATTACAGCTTGTTATCACTTCTGCGCTGGCGGTTTTCCCCTAATGCTGGCTAAATCCCCTTTGGGATGTGCTGAAAACTCCAATGTGCAGAAAAAGCCCTAATATCAGACAGAGTGAAAGCTTCAACAAGCATGAAGTGGAAACATTAAATACACAGTGTCAGCCTGTGACATTACAAAAAATTTGCTCAACTGTGGTCACAAAGCAACGGCTCACGCCCTTGTAGGTTTGAGGCGTCTCAGAGGACACCATTAATGTCTATTTTAGAGACTTCCTTAACAGGGTTGGGTATAATTTTGAAATTCTGAGATAGTTGGGGTGATATAACACATTAGGTACCAAAATCCAAATTCTGCTTGCTTCAGGTATTAAAATTAGTTTTTTTCAACAACCCTTTTTCATAGAACACCAAAGTTGTAAAATATGTTGTGCTGTCTAATCTGGGTACAAACACTTCACCCACAACTGATAACACCTTGACTAACCTGGAACTAAACTGGACTGAAGATCAGGTCAGACATTGAATGCCAGCTTTCAGTAGGTGATAGTAGGTATACAAAATTCTGTTCTACAGACACAGTATGAATTCAAAGAAGAGAGCAGATTTCCCTAAGGGGATCAATAAAGGTTAACAGCAACTGTATGACCATGACAGTAACACAGCCCTGCTCATCCCCAGTTATGGCTTCATGTGAAGCAGTGATTTTTCACTTTTTGTAGCCTTAAAGTGTTAAACACTCTCACAACAAAATAAATATAACAATTGTTTTGTTTTATCACTTCAATTCCTGCCACAAATCTGATTTATCTTGGGAACAACCTAACCTTGGAAGCAGTGCTTCATACAGGCTTGACACACACATGACAGTTTGTGGAGCGTGTCCCTACCGGTTTAAGGAGGACGCACACGTACCTGGATTTGCTGCAGGTGGTTGTGAGAGTTGTAGTTTTCCGAGGACGAGGGATCAGACACGCCTGCGGACACGGCGGTTGCCTGCGTGAGAACCCCGGTGCCATCGATGGTCTCGGGGAGGTGGGAGGAGTTGGAGGAGGAAGTGGTGGTGGTTGGCACGTAGAGCTCTTGGTTGGCGTTAGGGTCGCTCACCGTCACCAGTGACTGTTTGACGCCGGCGTCCTGGCCCTGACTGTCCAGCGCCTGGCTGCTCATGATGAGCTGACCTTCAGGTGTTACCCCTGTTGCGATGGGGACCGTCTGCGCTCCAGTCAGGCCGAGCGACTCCAGATCTACGCTGTTTATAGGGACGAAAGTTATGTTGCTGGGCAGGCCTACAGGTACTGTGCCAGTGTACGCTGAACCCCCCGCCAGCGAGACGCCTTGGATTGACTGAACTTGTCCCGTCTGTGTCAGGAGGTCTGTGGTCGCCGTTGTCGCACAGCTGATTCCGATGCTGCCCTGGCTGCCATCTTGGAGGAGCTGGATCTGCCCCGTGCCGTCATCCAACCCCTGTGTTGAGAACCCTGCAAGTGTCCCATCTGCATTTTGGATTTGGGGTATGACCTGTTGGAAGAAGAAGTGACAGTATTGAGCATGATCATCACCTAAACAGGACTGAAACTTAAATGTGTGTTCATCTCTTTATACCTGATACTGAATGCCCGACACTCCATTGGCTGCCGCCTCACTCCCAGATGCTGTAACATAAATGGGCTGGCTGGGAAGACTCCCAATAGGAAGCACGTACTGCCCGTTGGACGTGACAATCCCAGAGTTTGGAATGTGAAGGACTCCCTGGTCTTCCTTCCCAGTTGAAACAGGAGTTAACACCTCCCATCGGTCCGAACCCGTCAGCTGAATGGCTGACATATCTGTCGTCTGGGAGCACAATCAACACTCAGATTAACAAGGACAGATCACACTTTCTGCAAGGAGACAGTGATTCATCTCAGCTGAAGATTAGATCAAAGGGAAAAGGAGTGAGCCTGGCTATTGTCTGTAAATCAGTTATGGATTCAGCCACTGAGCAGATATATCAAAGAGACAGTAAAGCACAGGCAGTGGGGGGATCATGCAGAAATTTGTCCAGAAGCAAAGAATAGAACAAGCAACCACCAACACGGAGTGGAGATAACAGGCTGGAGAGCAGGGTGTGGGGGATGGGTGGCTATTACAACACAATTGAACGCTACTGTTATGATTATGGACGCAATCCCTGCTACATTATCACACCCCTGCATCTTCTAAACCCAAGGTACACCGGCTATCTTCCAGCGAGCCGACCCAAGTGACTGACTTCAGTGTCCTACCCACTATGGGCGGGTTTTACAGGGGTAAAGTGGGTGGCCGTTATTGAGGGGAACACAGGAAGTGTACGGCTTTCACCCCATGCCATCAAAATTTTAAAACGTGTGAACTTCATGCTCTCAAAAACACAACCAGAAATCGAAAGCGAGCGAGAAAGACGAGCTAGAAAATGTCGGATACCTGTGTTTCCGCTGCGCCGCCGGGTTGCAGAAACTCGCTTTGACTGCTGTCCACGTCCGCGGACGCCATTTCTCCTTGTTTCAGCGGCTGCTCTGGCGCTAGCAGGGAGAGAGGGGGAAACTCAGCAAAACTCTGTAATCTTCAACTCCTGCCTGCCAGAAAAGCCCGCAAAGCATCCCCACTCTCCAGTCCAAAAGGAGCTGACTGCGAAATTCAACTTTGCAGCGGAGATTCTGAGGCGATTTCGGCCCAGATTGACTGTTTACTTTGCCGTGGCTAGCCAACTAGCCGAGTTAGCTCACCATATCTAGCTAGTTAGCAGCAGAGCCAAAGATAAAAAGACGCAGCTCGCTCCGTTGTAGCTTCACAAACTCACCGATTAGTTGCACGCTTCGATGCGCTAAATGTTTACGTACCAGTCATAGCGTGAATGGTAGTAACCGGGAGGATTATCGGATCTACTAAACTCCGAACATGATTATTTTATCAAAGGCGGGCTAGTGTTGATCGGTGAATTCGGGTCGATTTTTTTCTATTTTGATTGACGGTGCGGGAAACACAAAGGGGCGGGACTAACAGGCCTGACCGTCCAATTTGCATCACATTACAGGACGTCCCGCCCTTCTTCTCTAAGCCGATTGGCTGAGCGGGGGTGCTGCTGAGGCGTCATTGGCTCACCGGAACGCCAATCACCTTTTTTGTAGTACGTGTGTTTCCTGTTTGTTGAGAGAGACAAGAGAAGGAATGCAGTTGTTGAAATCTCTACAGAGATACTTTGAAAAAAGCGTTGTTTGTTTCCAGTTTACACACGTATTGTCACCGTTTAGTGCGAAATAAAGTCATATATTCCACATTATCACTGGTATTTGAAGACAGAGCTTCTTATTTACCCCCGAACTCTGCAACAAACGTGCGGTGTGAAGCACTTTTTTTAAAGTTTAGGGTATTTAAAGTGACTGTAAATCGTAAGTTGCCCTCCATTATTAAGACCACGCGCTTCCACAGATGAATACAGCCCCACACTAACTTAGACTTGGTATAATAGTTCACACCACATCTGAAATTCTTGACAATTAATGAAATCACGTGTAAAGAATACAAAAAGCGCACAGTTGTACTTAGTTCACACTAATCTTTGACCAAATTCACATTTACAACAAAAGAAAAACGCACCCATTGTTACAACAGACACAGTAGTTTTGCTCCTCATTATTGTTCAACTACATTGTAACTAACCTTACATCTCATATCTCTATAGCAATTTTATAAACCAAAAAAACTGGTGTGTAAATTGAACTTACTTGCAAAGCAAAAGCAGGATGCCCAGAAGTTAACATTAAAACAAATATGATAAAGTTAAACAAACAAACAAACAAATATAAAAAATACAGAAATAAAAATGCTCAACTTAATATGTTAATATTATTTTTCTAAAAAAGCAAGTCAAATATTGTAGTATTTAGTCATCTGTGTAAAGTCAAGTTACCTAATTTATACAGCACATTTAAAGAAACACCCATAGAGTCAAAGTGCTTCTCAGTAGAGAAATAAGGTTGTAGTTACAAGTTTACTGAACAAGTTTAAATATTTGGGTTTATAACCTACAATACAACATATAATTCAAATTTATCTGGCTAATTTAAATATTAAGGTTAAGACAGAACAATATTATGTTACTCAATTATACATAACAATCAAGTTTGCGTGACCCAATTCAATATAAACGTTAAGCTCTACAATATTACAAACTTTATGTAATTATGATTATTAGTAACCCAGCAAGTGAGCATTTTGGCCACAGTGGAGAGGAAGAACTTCTTTTTGACACCTCCAGCAGAACCACGCTCAGCGAGGGCGGCCATCTGTCTCGACTGTTCAGGGTGAGGATAAAGGGAAGCCACATAAAGATAAGCACAAACAAACTGACCACAAACAAGAGATCAAACCACAGGCTTATTATTCTGCTGAAGACACACACAACTTTTTATATAGGAAAGAGAATGGCATCCTGATCGGTGTGACTCACAAGAAATAACTGATCTCATTCCCAAGTGTGTACTTTATTTCCTTCCATGTAGTGCTGTCTGATTTATTTTTAAATGCTACTTTTATTGCTTTTTCTGTAATCTAGGTTATTATTAGTTATTACTATGTTAGAATTCTTTTGTGTCTTCTGGTTTAAAGTTAAATTTTCTAAATGTAGGAAATAGTCTATTTTTGTACGTTTGCTGATGATAGTTTAAAAAAGAAAAGAAAAAAAAAATACCACCAGATATTGTGACTAATTAATAGTGGGGCATATGTCTCACATGCTGTGAAACCACATGACTTACTTCCTTGTAAAGAGGAAATGTATTTAATGAGAACAAGTTAACACAAAAGTTCTTTTGACAACTTAAAATAGTAAACTGTATATTTAGGATTTAAAAAAAATAAAACAAAAACACAAAAATTGAATACATCGCTTTATATGTGGAGCCTGGAGGAGATTAAGACTTTCCCAGTGTATGTGTATATATTTTATGAATTAAAAGTGTTACTGTAAATTGAATTTATATCATGCCATAAAGTTGTTTTTTAAATTATTTCCTTTAGTATCCTTCAGTTAAAAATGTTATTGTGGACCTTCGTATTTAAAGCTGTTTCTGTCAAAATCAATAAACTAAATTGGAATACACCCTCTTAACATGTACCTGCATGAAAGCCTGATGTCACATGGCTTCATCTAAAGTACAGATGTAATATATTCACAACTGCTATAAAGGTATTACATTTTTAAAATCTGTACCTTTCTGGTGGCACACACAAGTTCATACATATCCCTGTATGTTGCCTTGACCTCTAATGTTCTCAGTTTTGTATTTGACATAAATAAAAAAAAAAGAGACACACAAATAAACGACAGGTTGGTCTCCGTTTATTGACACGTGCATATTGATGAGGGGGATATTTATCATACACTGGCTCCTTTAGGTTTAAAGGATTTCTACTTTACTCCACAGTGAAGCAAAATGAGGAGATGGAGAGCACTTTAGCAAATCAAGACATTCACACTGTGGAGGCAGTAAGAGGAGGTGAAACATGATGTGTTCTGAGGCTGTGCGGTCCAGATGATCCACAATGAAGCACTGTCTTGTTACACTGGGTGGAGTTCATGATGTGAAGAGTCTGTTTTGTTATCGTTTTTTTTTTTTTTTTAACAAGACCAAAGCAAGTCAATAAAAGCAGGTTGTATAACACCGTTCTCTGCTCGGGTGTCTGGTCAGGCACGATCAGGGAGGCCTGCTCTGTAACACCCCATCTGCTCACAACACAATACAGTCGTGCCCTGAGTCAAACACTGACTGGCGGCTTATATTCTCAGCTTGTAGACGCCATACATTTTAGCATTTTGTGGTAAACATCAAGTCGAGTCATTATAACTTCACTGTGAATACTTTAACAGTGTAATTAAGGGAACTAAATTTTAACATCCTTTTTCATTGTCGGAGGAAAGAGATCTAAAACCAATTCACCTGCAGCAGACTGTTGCTTAATACTCACATTAGGACAAAACAGCTGGTTTACTGATCAGGCACACCTGCCATTAATAAAACTCTAATTAAGAAGCTCATTAGGATCTGAGAGCTCGCCGATTAATCAGCTGCCATCATTGCTGCAATTGCCAACTAATGACAGAAAGACAGGTTGTTATTACTCAAAGGGATAAAAGACTGTCTTGCAGATAAACCGCAACAGAAAAAGTCTGCGCTCTGCGAAACGAAAGAATCTGAAAGACGGCATCAAAAAGGCCTGATGCATGTTAAAAACGCATGAACAGTGGCAGCAAAGAAAACGCATGTTTGCATTCTGTCGCGGGTTCATACATGTTTTTCATAGCAGTTCCACCCGTTGTGTCCTGACACCACACATGCTAGAATATGGTTTGAAAATTTGAATGAATCATTTGATATCAGTGTTTGTTGTACAAATAACTGCAGCCACTCAGGCCACAAGTTGATCTGCTGAATTCAAACCGGCAGACAGTGCAGCTCTTTGAGGCCCGACTGAACTGTATTCTGAGTTACCCCCCCCCTGGACCCCTTGATGATTGTGTGGTCTTGTTATTTCTTTTTGGGTGCATTGGGTGTGTTGAATTTGAAAAAGATAATGTCCCCGTCCTCCACGACGTAGTTCCTGCCCTGTTGTCTGTATTTCCCAGCAGCCTGAGAAAGAGAGGATGGATACCAAAGAGGAACATTTTAAATGTGCATTTAGCGTTAGCCAGAATGTCAACAGTTATACTGGCAGAAATTAGTCAGAGCAGCAATTCAAACACGTGATAAAAGCTCGATGCAAACACACACCTTTGCTGCACTTTCACTGCCCTCCTCTTTGAAGTCAGAGTACTTCATCACCTCGGCCATGATGAAGCCTTTCTCAAAGTCGGTGTGGATTTTTCCAGCAGCCTGAGGAGCTTTGGCCCCTTTCTGTTGGAGCACAACAAGACAAAGAGGTCTCAAACATATATCTAAAAGAGATTAGCACATTTTCACTTCAGATATGATCACAAAATGATGCCCAGGACAACGAGGGCATCAAAAACTGATTCTGACTGTTGTGCTCTAGAGAAAAAAAGCACTTTTATAATGGAAAAATAAATCTTTTAAAAGCAGGAATCGATTGCATTCTTTATGTCTTTACTCTGTATGCTGGTTTCACAGAATTTAAAGACAGTTATGAAAAATGTAGAACATACTGAAAAGCAGAAAATGACTCATATTAGCAGCTTGATTCCAGACCTCTGAATTACTATCCAGAGTTTACTTTTATCAGTGATTCAAATAGTAAATTAAAAATAACAAATAAACGATGAAATGGCAATTCACTCTAATTATAGGCTTCAAATATCCAAATTCAGAAATTCTGCAAACACCAAAAGGCAAAAGAACCTTTGACTCAGTTGCTCTACAAGTAATTAGGTCGCATAACATTTTTTGGGGGAAATTGTAAAAACAGTCAAGTTTAGATACAAAAACAACCGAGAGAAAAGCAAAATAATTTCCTTTACCACTACACATAAATATGATAGAGCAAAGTTGGCAATAACGGTTTTAGATTTGCAATTAAATAGCAAATAAAAATGAGAACAGAAATCCTGGATTCTGCTGTAATCTGGAATGAACAACAGCAAGACTGGACACTTCAACTACAGCTGTAACATTTGTTAGTTTTACTTCACAGACAAACTGAAAACTTGGACTGCTGTTTGAAGACTTGTGGTCTTTTTTTTTTTTTTTAACTCTATTCTACTCTTCTTTTGCATAGAACTCTTTCTTGTCTTTTTCTTGTCTGTTCTCCCTTTTATTGTGCTGCTTTTTCAGGTTAAAGGGGGAAAAAAACAACAGAAAGAAGTCATATTTTGGAGAAAATATTCCGAAGCACTCACCCTGATGGTCCACGCTCGCACCTCATCTGGTCCCGCTGTGAAGAAGTATTCCAGCTGCAGCGCTGCATAGCCGGTCTTTATTATTTTGGTCAGAACACTGGAAACACACAGATAAACACAAACATCTGGATGAAGCTCAATCATATATTTAAAAACCCTAAAATTTTGAATTTAGTATTTAAAAACATATAGCTAATAGTTTAAATCTCATTGTTATTAATCTATTATTGCAATCTGTCATCAGAATTACACAGTGCTGTGAGCTGTATGTAGTTATTCAAAAGCAGTTGACTTCAGATGTGTTGCACTGCAGCTACTGAGCATTATCCAGCAGAGCCTGTATTGTGTCTTTCTACCCACCAGCAAGCTGACTGCGCTGCACTCGAGTTTAATCAAGAGAATCCAATGAACTCTGCAAAATCAGCTGATTTCTCATTTGTAATTTATCAAGATGTCTTTGTTCTTGTATTTTTGGTTTGTAGATATGAAGATTTGTTTGATTGCATTTGTAATCTGAATATCTTTGTATTTTGGACTGTTGATCAAACTGTCATCAGGCTCTGAACAGCATTTTTCTCCATTTGGTGACATTTAAAGGTTGAATGTTAGATAACTGTCAGACTAAGTCTTTGAGTGATGTGGCGTGTTTTTTTCTTACCTTTGCGTCTTCAGTTCCTCACAGTATTTGTTCCTCTCCTCCTCCTCCATGTCAAACAGTTTCGACTCCAGAGCTCCACTCAGAGGAATGACCAGCGCGCCGGGATCGTGAGCGTCTACCCACTCCTTGATTTTTGCCAACCTGATAAAAAAAAAAAGGCAACATCGAGAGATATCCTGAATGATGGAATGAATCTTAATAATCCCTGAAACATAGGATTAGGAACAGGTGAAAGCAAACCGACCACTTGTTCTTTTTCCTGATGTAATCCTTCTCTGAGAGATTAACCAGGTAGATCATGGGCTTGGATGTCAGGAACAGGTATTTGTTCAGAACCTCGATCTGTGGAGGGGAAATTAAAATTATGGTCATTTCTGAAAAAGCCATTTCAAATATTTGTTGTAGGAATGTACATTATCTCATCAGAAGGACATTGAGCAGATAATGAGGCATCTTGTCCCAGGGAATCTCAAAATCATAACAACCAAAAGCAGAACAAGAAAGTGAAAGTAAAGTAACATCATATGCCAGTTTGTCTTCATACACCTGTTTACATGTGCAATTTAAATTCTGTATTAAAAACTGAAGAAAAAAGGTATAAAAAGTTCATAAACAAATAATGAACTACTAAATAATTAAAAGATCTCAGAGTGTTTACGCTAGAAAAAAGAGGAAAGTTAGTTTATCAAACTAGGAAGGAAGCAATAAATGTCCTTTGTCCTCATTATAAAGTAACTTAGAAACATGAGATTAAAAACAACAGCATAACACAAGCATACACACAAAACCATCCACACACACACAAACATACATCATTACCTCTTTATCGTTCCAGTCGTTGTAAAATCTGACGTGTTTCTTCTCATCCACCACCCAGTTCTTTATCTTCAGTATGATATCCTGAAGCAACAAGCAGCAGCAGGTCAGATGCTGCATACAGGCTGATCTCACCTCACAACAACACAACAGATGCAAAGACAGTGCAGCCACGAACACCTACATATTCGGGTTTGAGCTTCTTGTCGCCTCCTCTGACGGCGGTTTTCTCTAGCTTGTCGATGATCGGAGCCATCATCTCCTCGTCCTTTAGTCGCAGCTCCTCGTGGATGATCTCGATGTCTCTCACCGGGTCGACGTTTCCCTCCACGTGGATAATGTCCTCATCATCAAACGCACCTTAAAACACACAAACATAGCAGCCTGGTACAAATACAATTATTTTTTTACAATTATCAGGAAATAAAAAACTGAAAATCCTCACATTGGAGGAGCAGAAACCAGAAAGTGTTTTGAGTCTTATAGTATTATAGCCGCTAATTATTTTTAAGTGGATAAACGAAGGAAGTAACTGTTTCAGATCTAACGAGTGTATACTGTGTTGGCAAATAAATTAAACGTTATTTCTTTTCATCAATTTAAATACGTGACAAATGAAACACACTGAGGCAAAAATCTTTCACTGCTGTCAAAAGATTCTGTGCATAGACTTGCATTATTGTCTATGGTGGTCGAATCAAATACATCAATAACTGTTAAACAGATTGCACAACAAGAGCCCATACTCCCACTCCTGGAATCAAAAACAAACCCAGCCCCCCAGTTGACGTCAGTGACTTTGGCTGGAGGCCCAAACATGAATCCTTGAAATGTTTTGCTTTTAAACATAATTGGAGTCGACTCCCTCTGTTTGAATTGTTTATACAGTAAATCTGACACAGCTATACATTATATTTAGCACAACAAAATATTCCCAAATAAAGTGTGGCCCCAAAGCTGGACTGAATTTAAAGCCTTATTTATAAATCTCTACATTGAGCTGGCCCTAAATTTATTGCTGCTACGTTAAAGTAGTGAGACTTCTCAGAGTAGACGCTCAGTTGTGCCCAGAATAAAATCAACAACGTGAGGAATTAGCTTTAAGTCAATATGCAGCACAGTGTTGAAACAAACTGGAGCTGTCTGATAGTTTTACGAATGCTCAGATTGCTGGAGTTAATAAATCTAGACCAAAACTCTCACTGTTCTCTACACATATTTAAAACTCAAAGTCTATAATCACTGACTATGGTATAAAAACATGTTGATTCTTATTTCCCAAAACCCAACACAACGCTCTAAAATATACATTGCATATATGTATATTTGTATGTATGCAGGCTACTGTATGTGTCTCATAGGTTTTTAGAGACTCTTGTGACAGTTCTCGTGCGAGAGAGACGTTTGTGTTTTTGGTATTATTTATATGAAAAAAGGACTTCCTGCCACAGTTTGACAACAGGAAACTAAGCACAGCTCACTCCATGCTGTGTTGTTACCTTATGATTTTTTTTTTATGTCAAAACATAAAAACATTCAATTTATTGTCACTGAGGATTAAGGAAAGCAAAAAAAAAAAATAAATTCAAATTTAGCATGAGAATTTACATTTTTCTTAAAACAAAAGCCACTCAAACCAATAAATCAATTGTGAAAATGGTTAGCGAATAATGTATTTGTTGATAACTAATCAATGAACAGTTGCAGCTCAAATTCATCTCTTGATCTTTGATTTAAAAAAAAACAAACAAGTGAATAGAATTACCTATCAGACCACACACTAAATTCCAGCTTTCAATAGTAGTCAGTAAGTAAGTAAGTTACAGTAGAACTCCCTGTAGTGTATTTACACAGGAGTCTGTCATCTCGTCTTTACTGGGCAACAGGCACAACATGATTGTGTTGTTGAAATGGGTCCCCTTTAAGGAGTGTAGCAGTGATTCCAGCCTGCCCTGCTAACACCTGTGCCTTCCATCAGTTCAGTTGTTACTACACAGCAGCTGCAGGCAGCAGAAGTAACGGCAACTCACGAGTCATGTGGAAGATGCCATCACAGGCACTGATGTGGGAGAGGAAGGCGTTTCCAAGTCCTTGTCCTGCGTGAGCTCCCTTCACCAGACCAGCAATGTCCACAATGTTTAGGAATGCGGGAACCTTACTGAAGAGACAAAAGAGACAAGCAGATAATCAGTGAGTCAGAAATCAGGCTGTCAAGAAAGTTCCACATCTACAGACTTTTTTTGTTTTGGTTGGCTCGAAAAAAAAAACCCAATTAGAGACAACAGGTATCACAATGGTGTTTATCAAATTTCTTTATTAACAGAGGTTTACTTCATCCTCCTCTGTCTGCACCGCCATAAAGAGGGGTGTTAATGCATCATTTGACTCTTTTTCCTGTTGTCTACTCAAGTCAAGAGGAACTGTATGAAACGATGGAAATGAAGAATGCAAAAAAGTTAGAACAACAAAAAATACTGTCCCTACAAGTAAGGCAAGGCAGGGATTGTTTCTAGAAATTTGTTAATCGTGTGTTTTAATTTGTAGTTATTGCACCACTAACTTATTCTGAGGTCCCATAATGGCACATATGTGGAAACAACTTCAGTTATTAGCAAAATAAAAGTTCAATAATGATACTGATTCAACATTTTCTGTGATGAATACCAAGAGACTAATCAATTTTCTAACCTGTGATCTATTATTTGTGATACCAGCAGGGTGAAATCAGAATTGTTCATTAAAACATATTTATGTATTTTCTGTATCAACAACTAAACACGTAAGTTTTCATGGCAGCATGGTGCGCACAGTTTCCTACTGTAACAGCAAAACTTTGTCCAGTGGCATCACCACCATACGGCTCAACGGGTTTGCAAATACGATGCATCTACATCGCTCACAGAGAATTTTTGGGTCTTTGTGACATTAAAGTGTTTCTACATTTTAACAAACTAAAAATGAGAAGAAAAGCACGCACATCTGTAAATGTTTAACTGAAAATACAGTCAACTCTACAAACCTGTGACAAACAACAACAGCAGTGAGCAGCCAGATGCCGTCACCTACATAATTTCCTAGCACATTTCTTCCCTGCACCATCCTTACTTGGTTTGTGTACATTTTGGTGGAATACAACTGTGTTTGTTCACCAATTTGCTATGAAGCAAGTTTCTCAGTTTCCAGATATGCAGAATCACAGAAAAAGCGATTAGTAGTCCTGAAAGTTCCATCAGAGCCCTCGTGCAGTTGACGATTTGACAGTAGAACAACCCTAAACCCTCATGCACTCTGTGTGATTGTGCCTCAAAGTCCTCAAAGTGTGGCAATTGGAATTGGGCCACTGTTATAACACACACCTGGCTGGTTTGTGGTACTGGCAGAGGAAATCAAAACGCTCATCGGGAACCGGCACCCTGCTCTCATTCGGGTCAATTGTGCAGAATGGGAAGTTTTCGGCAGCAGCTTGGCTTTTGGTCAGCACGTTGAAAAAGGTGGATTTCCTGCAACACAGTCAGAAAAAGGTCAATAACAGAGCTCCCCTGACATAACAAACATGCTGTGCAATAATTCACACTACCTGCGAAATGTACTCACCCAACATTAGGTAATCCAACAATTCCGATTTTCAGAGATGTTCCAAATCGTCCAATTAATGGAGGCTGTTTGGGGGCTTCTCCCTTCTTTGGAGGCATCTGGAAGAGTTAAAACAAGCTGGTTACAACGTGACACTCGTGTCCGAATATTCCACCAAAACAAAGCTCCTCCCCAGCGGATATATCTGAACATTTATCCCTCCGTGGCTCCATCCTGCTGAGCTGGCCCTCCTAAAAACGTGCAGCTTCAGTCATATGCTCATTCAAACACAGCATGCTAACGCTAGCTGCTGGCTAACTGGAACCACTCCTAGCTACCTGATAGCCACAATATCTGACTGAGCACAGGGCCCTGACCACATTTTCCACGCGTAACAAACAGCCTGGAAGCTTTTTAGCGGAGAAAATGACTTTTTTGCTACCTTTACGTGTTTTCTGAGCCTGTGGGCTGCGTGGTTGTCACCCTTCTGCTATCCGCTCACACCGGGAGCTCCACTGGAAAGGCAGGTTGGAGAGCAAAGCGGAAGTGTTGGGCCGTGAGAGCTCTCTGATTGGTCGGACGGAAAGCTGGAGGGGCACGTCAGAGCTGCAAGAACTCACACGTAAAATCAAAAATGTAAGTACTCCATTTTATAATTATTTGGACTTTAAATACTATTTCATTGCGTTTTAGGTCGTACAATGAGGGAATATACTGATACATATTTAGTCAAAGTTTATGCTGCTATCTGTGTTTCCGTGTTGCACCGCTGGAGGTAGTTTTTTGGGGGTTTTTTAAATTTTTTTTAGCAGGATGCGTTCAAGAACATGCGCAAAAACCCCTAAACAAACACCACGCACACATCAAACATACTGGTACATGCACAGTATACAGCAGAAGTGAGTACATTCCTGTGAAATATGACTTAAATGTTAAATCATTAAAAAAACACTCGTCAATAACTACATTATTTCTAAGATGAAAGAGTATTTCCTTTTATCAACAATCAGAAGCTAATAATTTAGAAAGGAGAAGATTAGTGCAAAAAAGTAAGTATATTTGCAATCACTGATATACAAGTTAGAAAACCTGTGATCACTGTGACAAAATGAGGAAAAAAAATAATTTCCAATTCGCCTTAATGCATGAACATGGTTCTAAGAGGACCTACAAACACCACAACTTGCTCCGTTTTGAACCTGCAGACTGTGTCCATCTGCATGTCTGTATCATGGTGCCACATGGACAAGAAGTGCCAGAGGAATTCAAAAAATCTGATTGAGAGACTTCACAATAATGGAAAATAATACAGGAAGACCTACTACAGATCTACTAATCAGGAGGTATAGAATGAGTCGTAGTACCACCAATCGAAGCTACATTGGTCGTCCTCTTCAAATGACGCCACAGATGCTGAATATTGGAAGCACATTCTTTGGTCAGATGATAACAAAGTAAATCTCTACCCTTGTATGGGGTCCAGCACAGGGAATGCATAGTCCTGGCAGTGAAGCACAGAGATGGGATTGGGATAATACGGGGTTGAGTGGGTGAAAAAGGTGGTGAGAAGATGACCCTGTGAATACCTGTGGATATACTAAAATCCTTACTGACAGAACTATGACCTCGCCAAGTGGGCCACCTGACTTGAATTCAATAGAACAACTTTGAAGTGTTTTACAGAGAAAGTTAGAACAACACAATGCCTTCAGAAGAACAGCTTAAAAAATATATATATTGGCAGATCATCTCTCTAAATTTTTTTTTTTTTTACATTGAATCTGTCATCAAAAATAAAGGCCAATAAAAAATAATGGAAAAAACATTACAGATTTTAATCAGAGATATGAAAGTGTACCGCCTTGTTCCTATTCCTATTAGGCCTGTACTTTTAATATAGTAATTCTAAGCCCCTCTTAATTTTATACAAGCAAATACCCTACTTCTACTTTAACTTAGAAATAAATATTGAAAGGTAGTACAGTTTTGAATCATTTTACATTTAAGTGTTGTTGCACATTTCTGTTGTATAACGTAGATATCTTCTCAAATAGCTATGATTGATCTGGATCTTGTAATTAGAAGGTTTTCTCTTGTAACTAACATGTAGTAGACCTTATTTCCTCTTAGGGTCTACACATTTTAATGTGAATGCTTCCACACATAAGAAACTATACATTTAAATAATTTATAAAGCAAGAACATGAAAACCTTGCATGACCCTAGATATCCATCCATCCATCATCTATACACCGCTTAATCCTCACTAGGGTCGTGGGGGGCTGGAGTCAGCCGACTTCGGGCGAAGGCAGGGGACACCCTGGACAGGTCACCAGTCTATCACAGTCTATCACAGACAATTTAGAATCACTAATTAACCTCAACATATTTTTGGACTTGTGGGAAGAAGCCGGAGAACCCAGTGAGAACCCACGCTGCACGGGGAGAACATGCAAACTCCATGTATAAAGATCCCGGTGTCCTCACTGGGACACGAACTGGCGACCTTCTTGCTGTGAGGCAACAGTGCTACCAATTGCACCAACTTGTAGCCCCTTGAAAAGCATGTGTATGTAAAAAGAACTAAACACACTCCTCTCAGGACCTCTGAAACGTGGCCATTACAGGATACAATGCAGTTAATAAACAACACAGCAAATGACCCAAGTATTTTTCTTTATTTTTTACTGCTTATGTACAACCAACAAAAGTTTACTTTTCACCAGGTAAAGACAAAATCAGAAAGAAACATGGCATTTAAAACTTATCAAAGAGCAAACTAGGATCATAATAGTTCAAGAAGTCAACTACATAGAAAGAGCAAACTGTTAAACTGCAACAAAACTAAGAGAAACTCGTGCTTTGATAAAAACAAGTCATTTGAGCCAATCGCAAACGAGCCTGATCTTAAAGTCCTGTCGTCAAACAGGCTGCGTTTTCAGTTCCTGTTTGCAAGTTGCCTTCATTTCCTAAAATGACAGAGAATTTCATGGAAGTCTTTTCCAACTGATGTACTTTCTGCCATTTTACATTTTTGTCAAAACTTGTTTTCATGACTAAAAAATTTGGTGACGAGTAATTCATGACAGACTTCATTGTTTTTGTAACTCTTGATACAGAAACAAATCTAGAATTGATATCACATACATAATCTGGTCAAAACAAAGAGAAACAAGCATCCAAACAATAACACTGTTGTTGACTCTTCTCTCGCTGCTCAGTAGTGACCTGTGAAGGAAAAAGATGGGGTAAGAGATTAGGTCAACTGCCCCAGTCACAGTGTATGTGTGAAGGCTACACAAAATATGCAAATTCTAACAAAATGTCAACAAGTCAGTATTCTATGTAAGTTACTAAATGGCAGGGATGTGGTTCAGACGTACGTGGTGAGTAGGACCGTGATCGAGATCGAGAGCGGTATCCTCTACTATAGTACGGAGATGGAGATCTGCGCCTGTAGGGGAGAAACAAACGTGTATTGTTACAATCTCTCTCTAAACTACATCCATTTGAGTAACTACATTTTAAAAGCTGGATGTCAGCCCCTCAAAAAAACAACTCACCTGTATGAACGGTACTCTCTGTCGTCATAGCGGTCATAGTCACGATCATACCCTCTGTCATAACCTCTGTCGTAGCCCCTGTCATAGTCCCTCGAGACGCGACGTGATGAACCACCGCCGCCGCCTCCGCCTCCACCACCGCCGCCGCCGCCGCCACCACTGAGAACACACACAGAAAGTGTCTCCTTTATTGTTACCACGGCCAGTCACCTAAAAGTTTCAAAAAGACTCTTGTGCACTGTCCAACTTGCAAAAGTCCATTTATTCACTATGCATTTTGTGCAGTCGTCCTTTTGAAACCTTTGGACAGTCCCATCCGTCTCTTACACGCCTCGCTCATAAAACACGTGCAAAGAGTTCCTTTGTTTTAAACCACTGCCGGTCATAACAATAAAGATACTCCTGCGCTAAAACATAAAGCAGCCTGGTTTACAAACACTTACTATGTAGGTCGTCCCATGTAGATCCCAGGAGTGGGAGTATGGGCTCGTTTGGTAATGGAAAAATCAACTCGGATCCTGCGTCCGTCAAGCTCCATTCCATTGGCGCGCTCTTTGGCCTAAAACACACAACAACAACACCACAGTCAGAAGTGAACGTTTTAATCTTTTTTATCCTAATTCCAATACAGCTAAAAGGGAAAATACTAATTTTAAATCGGAGACTGGACTGCGATTAGATGGGCTTCAACAATAAACCCTAACATTGCCAAAACAAGCTTTACCACCACGTTTATGCCGCTCTCATTTAAAACACTTTCGCTTTCTCTTTTACATAACGTAACCCTCTGAACCCTGGGCGGTTTATTGTGTGTCGTTGCTGCTACTACATTTTTACTCACTATGGGCTCATTTTTCACTGCAATATAAAGTCCTGCACCTCTATGGAAATGACACAACGGCTAGACACGGAGCGCATTCAAAACAGTCTTCTGTGCTGTATAACACAATGTATTTCCATAAATCATACAAAAATTTGGTTTAAAAATTAAAATTAGATTTTAGGCTTAGATTTGGTTGGCTTGAGAAAAACAAACACGTCAAGTCCTTGAAGCTTTGGAAAGTTGAAAAATGTAAAGATTCTTTAATTGTTCACTGTTTGCGGTTCTGATAGTGTAATTTTAGCATTTTTTCCCTGAAAAATGTAACCAAAAACATGCCTTTCAAATAATGCATTATCAAAAAACAATGTGAAACATGGATAAGCTTCAAGTCATGTATTTATGTTGTTTACCCATTAGTGAAATATGAAACTATTTGCGTACGTAATGATATAAACTACGACATGATATCTGGTTTAAAAAAATAAATAAATAAAAAAACTACATTATTAAAATTTTTCACCTCCTTTGAATCCTCGCAGTTCTCAAAATAGACGAAGGCAAAACCTCTTGAGCGACGCGACTGTTGGTCGTACACAATGTTGACATCACTCAGTGGGCCATATTTAGAGAAAACATCCCTCAGGTCCCTCTCAGTGGTGTAAAGGCTCAGTCCAAACACACCCAGGCAGTTGTTGGGGTCGGGGTTGGCCTGTAAGAGGACAGAGAAGTAAAATTACGGTGAGCAAAAATTGGAAAATGTGAAAATAAGCAGTTCAAAATGTGTGTATGTATGTTTACAAGTGAACAGATTAAGTGCTATGACAAAGTTGCCATTTTAAGATGAGAAATTCATTAAGCTTGGACAACACAAAGCTTGTATTCATGATCGTGTTGAAATAAGAAAATAAGTAAACATAAAGAAATTAATGACGAGTGTGTCCATGAACATTTTTAGTGTTTTCAAAGTCATCAATTCACTACATTTTAAATTCACCCACAGGAATTCCAAACCACACTGAAGAAGCACTGTACCCGGTTGCCAATGTGTCTGCGACGATTTGACATCGGGGAGCGGCTGTGGCTCCTACGTCTGCGGTAGTCTGAGCTGCGAGACCGGCTCCTGGAACGACGCCGGCGGGAGCGGGAACGAGAACGGGAGTTGTGCCTGCGTGAACTTCGATGGGACCGAGACCTGGGGTAAGAACTCAACTCTTAAATTTGCGCATAACTTTAGAAATGTAGTTTTTGTGTCCACATATCACAGCTAACTTTGAAAATTCTGTCTTCTGTATATGTTAACAGAAGAGAAAAACCTTCTTACCTTGATTTGGACCTGGACCGAGACCGAGATCTGGACCTGGAACGGCGGGAGCCATCTTTGGAGCGTGCTGGTGAGCGGCTGGCAGATTTTGCTGAGCCTCGAGGGGATGCACTCCTCGAGCCACCCCGCGAGTCCTGGACGGATTAGACACTGAGGTCAGAAACACTCTAACGCCAAGTGTGTCAAACAACATGAATACAGGGCCAGGAGGTGACAGCGCTCACCCCCTATATGCCCCTTTCAGAAGGTGTTCACCACATTATGGTGTTTAGCAGGTTTGTTGCTAAATGTTTAGGAATTTGATTATATAAAATCATGTTGCAACAGATATCTGAAGTAGAAATGAAGCAATTTAGCTAAAATATAGAGACTGCACAAAAAGTTATTGTAAATAGTGGAGGGATTGACCAGTGATGTGTCTGATACAGAGAGGGAAAACAAAATTGTGCATGCTTAAGAGAAAGTAACAGGATGAAAGAGTAATAACATAGCAGGCTGTTAGGAAATTACTCATACCCTGGTAAACTTCTGATCTTAACTTCATAACTTCTTTAACTTCATTACTTCATAACAACCCTTCATTTCTTCTTTCTTCTGTTTGATATTATGACTTCTTTTTTCCTCCTCTTCCCCCATTTACCATCTGCCATTACAACACTAGAAGTGGGGACAGATCTTGAGCGCTTCGTTTCTGCATCCAATACATTAGCATGCATCAACACCATCAGCTTCAAACATTAACAACTTCACATCTGAAACGTCTTCCGCCTTTTTCTTTCTTCCAACCTCAACCTTAACAAAGAACAAACAAGGGTGATAAGGCATGTTGGTTTCTGTTAAAACCAAAAGGTACAAAGAAAACAACAACAAAACCAAGAAAATAACATAGCTTGAATAGCTGCATGTTTTTAAGTTAGCTTGCTGTGGCTTTCATTTGTCCCAAATTAGCATGTACTGTTACAAAGCTGAACGTTGAGATATCTTAACATGAACTAGTAGTTAGTATTTTATATTACCTGGTACTGATTAGTCAATATTTTGACAGGTAATCCTAAAACAATATGAGCGGTAAAGTGAAAGCAGGCAGGTGTTGTGCCAAAAACTGACTGGAAAAGCTGCTGCGCCCAGTTTCTACACATTTACAGCTGCTTTGATCTGGTTCAGCCTATTATATCAGTGTAAATACATTTAAAGTCTTCGGTAATAGCAACAATATACCTAATGATCAGGCATGATATTTAGGATAACTATAGACAGTAGAACAGTATTATTTGCCATGTTTAGGCATTATGTGTCTACTATGCATAATATCCTTGTTTAGACAGAAACGTAACTATATTAGTAGAGTATCTTTGAATAAACATAGAAATAATCTCTTTTGCAATTATCCTTAGGCGCATATACTTAAAAACATAACAATCATGGATGAAACAATCACATTTTAGTCCCAACGTAGGGGCTAGGCTCACTTTTTGGCAAGCGGAAAACTGCATGACATGAGTTGAATTGGTCCTTAAATACTATTTCAGCTAGCAAAGCCAACTGGACTGATTATAATGTAGGGCACAGAGCAGGTAAAAATGATACAGAAACATTGGGCAACAATTGCGCTTATTTATGTGTTTTAGGTAGACGGTCACTTTTTGGCACCACACCGGCCTGGCGGCGGCAACACCTCCCTGCTGCTGCGCTTTGTGGGCCGCGTGCTTTAGCTTAGCAGCCGTCACCGCTACTGTTCTTCACATTAACGACACCGTTACACTAAATACTTTAAGCTACGTATCACTTATAAATACTCACACATACAGCTACTTAGCCTCACATAGAACAGACTTGTCTCAGGTTTGAGGCCGGTTTTCGAAGCCGTTAGCAGACTTAGAAACGTAGCCAAAAGCTAAGCTAGCTAACCTTAGCTAGCTGTACGTCACCCTCACGTTATTTTCTTAAGATCAAAAACTCACCGGCTCTCTGAAATCTTTCTCGTTGTCGCTCATTTTAAAGTAACAAGACAGCGGACGCGATCATATAGCATGAAAACAAAAACTATGCGGAAATGCGGTTCTGCAGACTGATTTAACTCAGCCGCCTGCCGAATTTCCCGCAAAACAAAAACCGGTTTGATCTGAACTGAACAGCAGCTAAAGGGGCCGGGCTCGCGCTCCAGATGGACCTTTCACAGTAAAAGCATCACCACAATAAAAGCTACCCTAAAACACACTGCCATTTTCCACCTGTACTTTATTTCAGTTTTATTAAATGCCAAGGCTGCTTAGTGAATAACTCAATTTAACCCGAAGCAGCTGATTTCACGTTGCTTCCCCTCCACTAAGAAGCTAAGTTAAATTGGCTGATGTCCAAATAAAATAAATACAGTCCCAGCATTTTAGATTAAAAAAAGCACTAAGCTTTTCAGGTATGTTAATCTGATTAGATGACTAAATACAAACTAGGAGTTTAACCTTCTGGCTCCAGTTTCCATTACAATCCCAGATGTAGCTCGACACTGAGAGGATATAGAAGCATAAAATAATAATTAGGTAAATGTGAGCATTTATATCATAATACAAACTTGAGGTTACTAGCTGAGTCATTCAGTGAATCAAACTCCAAGTACAAAACAAAATACTTTATTACAGGAACAAAAAAAACTCACATTTTTTAAACATGAACACAAACATGCATGTGCATACAGTAGTTCACTATGGAGTAGACTATCATCTAAGTCTTTGTAATAGCCCTAAATAGCCTCTTGCAGTAAGCTCGTTGAAAAGATTCACAGATGTAACAGCGCTTTATGGTAAATACGGGGAAACAACCATTAATACTCTACTCGTAGAGGAATAATATACACACACTCCAAAAGTTTTCATTTTCTCATCCAGTCAAGTCATAAATAGCAAAACAAACATGTTATTACAACAAGCACTCAATCATGCACTTATTGTCTAAAAAAAAGGTCTTCAGAGGAGGTATCTTATTTTCATTGTCTATATTTTACAAACAGTTTCATGACTAAAAGTCACTATAATTATTTGCCATCCACTCTGATCAGGATGGGAAGGGGAACAGCCAAATTACACCAAAATATCAGTGACCCACAACAATCTACTTCAATGAATTCTGAATCAAGCTCCTCAGTACTGAAGTTGAGTCATAAATAACCAAGTCATTTCCTGAAAGAGAAAAGCACGTTCTAAGCTGAGCTCAGTGTGAGAGGGCGGAAGGCACTTCAGGTACTTCAAACAGTAAAATGAACAATCCAATGTCAATAAAAAGCCATTCAGTCAGTAGTGCCAAAGTTTGTGTAAGACGCACATTTCTTACATCCCAATAACGTCTCCAATTACAACTCAGAGATTACAAATACTTAATATGTCCCTGACAGGAAAAGAGACATAAATATTCCTTAAGACTAGCGTTTATTTCTCCAGATCAGAAGAGCAAGACTGAGTTTGATTTCAGTCGGTAATGTCCACTTCTTTGGCCCATTTTTTCCTTTTGTCTTCAACACGTAGTTGCTGTACACAGATGTTGCTCCCACTGACAAAGTCTGTTTTGTTAGGAAGTTAAATGAGATTACTGCGATCCTCTATAGCAGCTTCTGATTGAGGATTTCCCACATCATTAACTTCCTGAAGAGAGGCATGTGGCACTGCAATGTAAGAAGCAGATGTTATTTTCAATTTATATAAAACATACAATTACAATATTACAAGTGTTACTGCATTTAAAGTTCCCTGTGGAGTTGTAGATCTCTTGTAGTGCTATGGATCAGTTTTTTGTGAAAAGGTTTTACATTTTTCTCCTCATCAAAAAGTCACAATAACACAGCAAGATGTGCTGCAATGTGCCACCAAAGGCTGGAAAGAAGCCTTATAGCAAATGAATGAGGAAGGCAATGCTTGTGACACATTTAGACTTCGGCTTAACAAAACATTTCAGCGGAGCAACACTAAAACTCCACACAGTTCTTTTCAATGAATACAAGATATGTACCTGTTTAAAGGTGAGAGGCCTGCCTTTTGCGATAAAGTCAGCGTATTTACATGCAAAAACACCACAGTCACTCCCATTTTTCTGCTGGGGAATTTCCTATAAGCATAATGTAGTCATTAGTGTCACAGCGAAGGATAAAATGTCTTAAATATGACATCATTCATCACAGTTACACTTACGCCAGCTCTTAAGCTTCCAACAGTCCATTTGGCACAGTCAAGCTCTCTGCCTTTCTTTGCTTTGTGCTCCTCTTTAAGGTAGAGTCTAGAAAATGAGCACAATGACATCAATCATTATGTAAAAAGACAAAGAAATATATAAAAAAAGATGGCCGCATTACTGGCCACTCAGAGAAAAAGGAGGACTCACAGCAAAAGACTGCAGATGTCGTCATGTCTCTGGCCCATTGAGTCGTATGACTTCACTGTTTTTGATGTAAAATCAATCACCTGGAAAGAAAGTGGCAACAGTGATTAAGTGAAGCAGTGCCTATTTAAAGTATAAGCTGGTTGCCTTTGCTTTTCAATATTAACTTTCTGAACCCCAAAACCTGCCAATGGGCTGGAAATCAGAGCTAGACACTTTGCAGAATCATTGAATTAATCATTTGTGACTTTTGCTTTCATTGGCAAACTTATTATTCCAAAATCTAAGCTCAAAATCATGATATTTCATTAATATCCCTTTATTTCATGAGTCTCGTTTAAAAATTTGCCAAAAATAAACTGTTAGCAGTAACTAAATACTGTAAAAAAAAAAAAAAAAAAAAAAAAAAAAAAAAAAAAAAAAAAAAGAAAAAAAAAAAAAAAAGAAAAAGAAAAATGTAATTACAAAGGCAGTTAAACATCTATACTATGTAGAGGTGCCATGTTTTCCACAACACCTGAACATGTTGATTCCTTTTTTTTCCTTCAAATTTTATAAATTAAATAATGTAACAAAATCAACTTTAATTTTTGTTCTTCTTAATGATTATCCTACACAAGACATTCTTTAATGCTAACTTTATTTAACTTAACATTGCAGTGAAAAATGAGCCCAACAAGGAGCAAAAATGTGACAGAAGTAAAAAAAAAGCTTGGTTGTGCTTTTTAACATTAAACCCAATCAATTTAATTAGGGTTTTGACACTGATAGACAGAAAATACATGTTAAAGTCAAAGTTAATTAAAGGAATAATATTATTATTCAAGTTTTTAAAAATAACTGCATCTTAAAATTCATCAACTTCAGAGAGACATATGGAACCAAATGGTAAATAGTCACTGATGTTCTCAGTTTGACTTACCGCCATTGCCCAGTGGACGCCCAGATGCAGAGGAACCAGAATGAGGTCAAAGAGGAAGAGGTCGACAGCTTTGGTCCATCGCTTCACAGCAGCATGTCCTCCAACCTGCCCCCCTCCTCCTCCTCCCCCACCCCGCAGCTTTGGGAAAAAGAAGGTGCTGAAGGAGTAGACTTTGAATCGTCCTGCTTCGCCAGAGCACCGCTCCATGACCAGCGAAAGGTAGAAGTTCATTACCTTGGTGAAAGAAACAAAAAGCACAATGTATCATCTGCATACACAATGCAGTCAATAATACAGAGTAAATAATGTGAGAGCAAACAATTTGCAGTAGAATGAGCACATGAAATACTGTTTTGGAATACAGATGTAAACATATTGTATATTACTTGTATCTAGTTTAGTTGTCAGCAAAAAATGACATCTTATATTAACAGTGTAATAAGAACAATGCTCACACTGTACTGCTAACATTTGAATTAACTATTAGTTGCAATGCTAATTTGGGAAATAAGGTCAAGCAAAAAACTTTCTCCAGGGCCGAGCTGCAGTGTAACACTAACATGCCACACTTACAGAAAATGTGCTCAATACTCAAATTAATAATCGTTACTTCCTGCTGGCAACAAGTTGTCAGGGTCGCCTCTGATGTGTTGCTGCTGTCAGCGCTACAAATACACAGTAAATATGTACAGTCTCAATTATACACTCTTCAACGACTTTATTATTTATGCTTTTTATAAAATCTCTTTTGTTAATGAATAAAGACATTAAATGTGTGGAAAGTTCATTGCATGACTTTTGCATGAACTACATCCCACCTCGTCGTTGAGCCAGCCGCCTTCCTGGAGTGTGGCCAGGTCTCTCTGTGTGATGCGAAGTTTGAAAGCTGCACTGAGAACAAGGTTGGGATCACTCTGAGCCAGAGCTCCACTCACCTCCACGACCATTTCCTACACAAACACACAAATGAAGAACAGAATTAAGATTTTATACATGTATGTAATGTATGTGTGTAAAAAAAAAAAAAAAAAAACAGATTAGAAACGGGCCGGCTCAGATTGGAATTCCACTCTGGGCTGGTCTGGAATGGAATCTTCATTTTTCCCCCCCTACAGATTCGGATCAGGTTTGGCCCAGACAGAGTCTTGACAGTATATAAATTCAAGTCACATATGCCATAGTCAGTTCACTTGCTGTCCACCATGGAGCAACACACCAGATTTGACCAGCTGTTAAACAACCACATTGCCTCACTCTATGCCAAGAAGAATGGCAGGTTCTTAGTCAGAGATGATCAGTACAAGCAAATCATAGCAGCTTTAGCAGTGACCAAAGTATCCAGATGGTGCAAAGTTCAAGCACTGATGTATAGGTGAGTGCCTTTCACTACTTCAATCCCTTTATTTACATATTATCAAATTTCCTTGCAACAAACTTGCATATGAGTGATGTTTATTATTGTTAAATATTGTCTGGATTGCTAATAGACATGAAAAATGTATTTGTCAAAATGGATAGGAAATTTGTGCAACAGATAATGTTACTGAAGAACAATAATGTTTGAGATTTCATTTTAGTCTTTGTGTTTTGTCATTGACAATATGTGAATGTCAGCGATGATGAGTACAACTGTTTTGTAGAAGTGTAAGCATCCAGATTTTTTTTGTTTACAGGCAGCAAGACAGTACTGTACTGTAAGAAAACAGCCAATTTAGTCATCACCAGGGAGGACCTGCTCTCCACTATTCAACAGTGCCATGAGAGAACAGGGCATTCTGGGCGCCACAAGACCTGGGATGAGGTAAAGAACAACTATGCCTTCATACCAAGAGTTGCTGTAGAGCTTTACCTTCAAACCTGCCTCACTTGCAGCACACATCAGAGTCTGAAACAGCCCATATCAGCAAAACCACTTATCTCACTTGGGTTCCTGACCAGAGTACAAGCTGACCTCATGACAAGCGAGCCAGATGATAATTACAAATGGATTCTACATGTCAGAGACCATTTCTCCAAGTATTCCTGGACATTCCCACTGACATCAAAGAGGGCTAGTGAGGTATGTATCTTTACAAGTCACAAAAGAAATGTTTTTTTTTTTTAATTCAAGGCCTTTATACTTAAGGTCACACATGCCCAGTCACACCCTTACCCTTAGATCTGAGGGTTATCACACCTTTGAGAAATGAAAAATGAGAACACACCCTCACCTTGACATCTGAGAATTTATACAAACAACTTCCCTAATCTATACAATATTCTTGTTTGTAATGTTCGGCCTTCTCAGGATACTTCAATCTGACAATGGAAGGGAATTTGTAGCATCAGTAATCACTGAGATGACAAACCTGTGGTCAGGTAGTTCATGGAAGACCAAGGCATCCCCAGAGCCAAGGCTGTGTAGAATGTGGTATGATTTGATTTCCAAATAATCAGTTTCTTTATGTCTTTTTTGGGTCAATTGTGACTAAGATTAAACTAATCTGTATGATGTTTTCTGACTGCAGGAAATGGAGACTTATAGCTGAAACTGGGGAAATGGTTGGAAGAGCGTGGTGGTACCTGGTCAACAGCACTGCAGTTTGTCCCACATGCCATCAACACATCTACAGCATCTGCCACCAGTAAAACACCCTATGAGGTTGTTTTCGGACAGAAACCTCGCCAGGACTTCTTTCTGCTGCAGCAATTGGCAGAACAGGTAATTCCCTGAAAATTCTAACTTTTAAATTTGAACGATTATAAGAAAATTACAGAAATTTGAAAGTTAACTCTTGCTGAATGATTAGTGTGTTCTGACTGATTAACAGTAATGGTTTGTTCGTCTTATGTTTGATTTAACTCTTGCTGAATGATTAGTGTGTCCAGATCAATTTATTTATCACAATATTATGCTTGTAAATGGATAATTAAACTCTTGCTCAATGATAAATACGCCCTGATTTATTTAGAATAATTTTATATTTGTACAGGGACCACTAAGTGAAGAGACCATTGATCCCCTCACTGTTGAAGCTACTGAGGTACAGCAGGAAGGACCTTCTGACCACGACAATGTAAGTAGGCCTAATTACCAATATCATTGACAACAAATTGGAGAAATTGTGTTTAGAATTTTGTATATATATCAAAATTTATCATCTCATCTTATATTGTATAGAATGAACCAGAGACATCAGCAGCAACCCTACTACTCCAGCTTTCCACAGATTCAACCTCTGGACATGACTGTGTGCCAACTACTAGTCGTGTGACTGAATTCCAGCTTGACAAGCTTCCCTCAATGTGTGGTCCATCCCCCACATCCAAAGGTAGACAAGAAGCAACAGTTTCATACTTAACAAACAGGTAGGTTAAGACTCGTGAAACAATAAGAAATCAGTAAATTTAAAATAGTTGCTTGTTACTTTGAAGGCTGTACTAACATCTGTGATGCAGAATGTAACAATCTGGTTCCATCTTTCCTATTTAATTTGCAGCCAGAACCAACGACACACTGAGCTGACTCAGCAGATCAAAGACTACTCTGTGGGGGATACTGTTGGCATTAGGACCAACAACGCAGGCCGCACAAACACAGGTATGCAATCTATTAGAGCAACAACGTTGGTTATATTTTAGGATATTCAGTTGAAAGATTAATCTGGCGATTATGCAACTAGCATATTTAAAAATACATGATTTATTCTGTAGACAGAGTGCCAACTGTGTCTCTGACACATTCAGTCTCACCTTGGTCAGCCTAGGTATGTCCTCCTCACTGTGCCATGTATGTGCAGAATGTGTTTCAGGCAGGCTGACAGCAGGAGTGTCTCTGTCGACTAGCTTGAGGCGAGTAGCCACTTCTGTAGAAAGATCCACCTCTGCTGCTTGTTTCTGCTGCAAAATAGTTTGACATTATAGACACAATACACTCAGGACTACAACTCAAATAATGCTTTGACGTGTCAGAAAATAGACAAAGAAATATCTACCTTTGTACATCTAACAGGCTGTTTGTCCTCAAAGGCTCCACTGAATGACTTACTGAAGGTCAAGCCACCCCACCTGAAATTGCATCATTAAGAAATTAGTGAAATTATAATCCATCATTATGGACAACACACACACGTACATAAATGGGACTCCACAAACCTGTCCTTCGTTGCAGATGCATTTCTCCATGTAAATACATTTGGCACAGCTGTGAAGCAAAGATAAGGGTCAGTCGAGTACAGTAGACTTACTGGAACATATTTACAGATTTTATCAAACCTAATTTGACTCAAGTGACTCTCTGTAATGTGAAAAGCGATGTACTTATTCTTCTTTTCTAGAGGAATTTTTGGTGACCCCTACTAATGCCAGAAAGCTAAGAATTGAGAATAAAAGAATCCAAAAAAGTTTGTAACCAGTTTTGTGAACAAGGTTTCATTTACTTGAGCATAAATGACATTTTGTTTGTCGAATGGTCAGAAGTAAAAGGAAAATCCATGAATTTCTGTCAAAAAGGTAACACACAAGTGATGCCTTTACTTTACATGACTGATCATGTTTACTGTCATACATAGACACTGCCTTAAGGCCCATTCTAAGCAAAGAAAAACCCTGCAATGAATTTTCTAAACCTATTGAAAACAGTACATTTTAAATCATTAACAAATAAATAAAGAATATCACCTAAAAAAAAACAATAGATGACATAAACAGTTAGCTCTGGGGGGAAGCATAATTTAGCTTGAAACAATAAGTTGAAAGTGTCCCACCTGTGTATCCCGTCTTTCTGGGCACTGATTCAAAGGTATTTCCTGAAGCAGCAGTTTTGTGATCAACGTGTGACAGCGACTCACTGGAGCAAAGAAGAAAAGGATTCATTTTCTACCAATCAGCTTATGTCTTAGGGTTCATTGTTTAATGGATCTTGATGAATATCTTTTTTTTTTTTTTTAAATAAATTTCACATGAATAAACGGGTTATACTCACTCTTGTGGTTTTGTTTGATTGAAAGGTAGTGGTTGACTTTTGCTGTATTTCTCTGTCACCATCTCCACCAAGCGTCTGTAGTGCTCTTTATTGTTCTGCTTTATGGCCTAGACGCAGCATGTGAACACAGGATACAGTTAAAGCTTGATAAGTGGCAGTATGAGCTGGGGTCATTCTGTTGGTAAATCTAATTTAAAAATAAAGAATTTTAACTTTGTATAAATCCACAATAAATTATTGTGTTTTATACCTCTTCCACAGTAAGACTGGGCTTGTAGTTGCGGTTGTGTCCAAAGCCATTACACGTTGGGTCAGAACTAGCATTTCCCACCCTGAGAGTAGGCCTCGAAGGCAGCAGCTGGAGGGAGCCTCTCCACTCCCGGTCCTTCCCTCTGTCTGGGAGACCTGCAGAAAGTGCTGTCCCACTGGATTCAACAAGAGGCATAGCAGGGGAGCATTGTGAAAAGGTGATATTTATTGGTAATTGCATCAGCAGTAAATTGATTGCACATTAGCAGAATCTCTAATATTGGACTGCTTACCTGTATTTTCTCATTAAAGGAAGTGAAGAGCTCTGATAGGGATTCTTCCCACCCCTCTCATTTACTCCACCAGCCGGTTTATCTGTGAAGAAAAAAACAGATTGTAACAAATGACAATGACGACAAGAACAGGAGAGAAAATTCTGTGGATGAGACAAAGTAACATAAAAACAGTCAACGGAGCACATATTTGTTTTCTACTGTAGTATCTGTCCTCACTTACCCATTCTCCACTCAGCACTGTTCAGCCATGAGGTCTGAAGCTCATCTATGCCCATCAGAATGACAGGCTGGATCAAAAAGAGGAAATCAAATCAAGTTTATTGTCATTTTACTGTACATACAACAGTAGTACAAACAAGATGAGAGAGCGCTTCTTCAGGATCCAAAAACTAAAAGCAATTAAATAAAGAAGTGTTTGCATATCTGGATCAGCAGTTCAGCATTCTGGCAGCTTGTGGAATGAAGCTGTTGAAGCTGCTGATCAGTCTGAAGGTTCATTCCTTCAGTGCTCTGGAAACGTTTGCCTGATGGCAGCAGTTCAAACAGTTTATGGAGAGGGTGTGAGGGGTCCCAATGCAGGGCAATTAAAGGGAAATGTACAACTTAAAAGTGCAACACTAAATATAAGAGATAGCTGAAAGTTAATGCCTTAAGAATGTGTCTTAAATGCACGTTTGAGGTTAATCAATTGTACCTATGTGTAACAACAAAGGAGTGGACTGAATAGAATAGAATAGAATAGAATAGAATAGAATCGAACTTTATTGATCCCTTTGGTGCAAACCTCAGGGAAATTGTTGAGACTGGGCATTAACGTTACAACATAACATACAGTAACATAACAGATGATATAACATATAGTAACTTTCCCATGTGCCTTCAGTGAAGTTTGGATGCGATACACCTCAATTGATCCTACAACAAACTCCAAATGTACGTATCTGAATGAAGCGCACAGGGCACCCACCTGTGTCTCTTCACATTGCCTGGGCTTCTCACACTTGGTAGACAGCGGTTTCCGCAGCCCGAGTAGACCTGCTACACCAGCCACAGTCTTCTTTACAAAGCTGATTACTACATCTGAAAGACAAGACGCCAGAGATCAACAGTCACTGACATTCACGCCATGTGGCTTTTCAAACAAATTTTAAAATGCTTTGTATTATTTTTTAACAAACCTCGCCTGCGCCTTTTCACCTCTACCTGGTCAGTCTGGCAAACACCATCTGGAACATGCACACTAGAACAGGAGAAAAGAGAAGACTGATACTAAGAAAAGTCACATTTTGTTTTCGCAATACTGTGACAATAGCAACATAACATGTGCTTTGAACATAATATTATAATGATTATTATAATACACTCAGTTGCCTTATGATGTTTATTAATTTATTTATTATTAACCAGTTAATTTCAGAGACCTTTGGTTGTGGTCCACTTGAATTGTAATAAGTTACAGAGAGATATTTTAAAATTTAGTCGGCCCTCACATACAAGCTCAGTGGACAAAATATTAGGGCTGCGACATGCCATTATTTTCATTGTCTATGAAGTTGCAGATAATTTAGTAATAGTGGCAGATGCAATCAGCTTCCCACAGTCCAAAGTTGATGCCTCTAACATCTTGTTTTGTCTAAACAAATTAAAACCCAAAGATTTTTTTTTATTTACTAAAAGCATCACTTTCTCAAGTTTTGAGAAGCTGAAACCAGAGACTGATGTTTTTAGTTTTGAAATTTGATTTTAATATTAAACTTTTAAAAACACAAAAAAGCTGCCAAATATATTCTGTCATACTTAATTAACAGAGTGACTAATAATTTCAGTTCCATATACCACAACTTACTATCAGCAGCTGAAAGTATCCAAGTACATTAAAGCAAAGTCTGTGCTTGCATTTTGAGGAACGTTTTTCTACTTCACTAGTATCACTCAGATGTGAGGCAAATATTACTCCACTGGAGTTATCTGTTAACATTTATGACTAGTGACAGTACAAATCTTAAAAACAAACAACATTTATCTATATATTACAGCAAATTAATATAGTTAATGATAAGAAGAATTAAGACTTCCTTGAAATGCATCCATTATCTATCTAGCCATTATTCTAGGGCGAAGGCAGGGGACACCCTGGACAGGTCACCAGTCTACTTCCTTAAAGTAAATGTTGTAATTAAAAGTATGTCTCATATTAGAAGTTGCAATCAGTTAGCATAATATAACATGCACTTAACTGGATCAGTTTGCCTTTTAGTTTTGAATGATTTTTACTTGTTAGGATTTCTACTACCTTTATTTAAGAGCTGACTGCTTATTCCACGACTGATTATTATTCTTTACTGATAAATACAGAAGGAACATAGTGGTTTAAAGTCCCATCAGTACAATGCAGTTCAACAGTACCATGAACCACAGAAACCACATATTAAAGTCGAATTAACGCCTCTGTTTAAGGTTAAACAAAACCTGGACGTTATAACAGTTGTGTAGTAGGATGTGTTGCTCTCGGATGTTGTATTAGACAATATTCGTCTTAGCTCGTGCGGTACATTATACATTTGATGACAACTGGTCCTTTTAAACAACATACACTGAAAGAGAAAATTAAACGCAATTAATGACAAAAAAAGATTTCAGTTCGCGAATGAGTAACTTGCCTCAAGATGAGAACTAAGCTAATACCACAGCTTTGTTTGATGCTCCTGCTTGTTTGCACTGGTCAGCTAACTGCTTAGGTGAACATTAGCCACAAGTGTTAACCTCCCTGCCTGGGACAACATTGACAAATCATTAAATGACCAAGGCGGTATAATGCGGCAACGACTATTCAACTCTAAATTACTGAAAAATAGAGATTATCTTCCACCACCGACCTCTGGTAGTTCCGTTTTGCCGGTCTGCCGTTGCTCTCCTGCCGCCGTGCTGCCGCTCTCACGCCAGGTCGCGTGGGTTCCTCCTGGCTAACGTTACCTTTCCCGGGCCACTCGGTGGGGTTTTGCCCCGAAATGGGCTCAAACAGCGACGAGATTCCGTCAACTATCCATCCATACATCCCAGACAAATACGAGAAAATTGTAACGAGGTCTTCTACGCGGTCCAGGACTATTTCTCCGCGGGTAAGATGTCAAACAACGATCTACGACACACCACCAGCCGTTAACCTAGCTTAGCGTTAGCATCACTGCGCTGAAATGCCTGGGATGTGCGTCATTCCGTGTTGCTGTTTCACCGAGTGCGAACGTTTTGAGCATCGACGGAAAACGAGTGGGCGGAGTTCTACAGTAAAGCTGAATATAATACAAGCGATGGAAGACTGAGTGTAAGCGGCGTCTGCGGATATTAGCAACGAACGAACCCCTGACCGAGAGGGTAAGTGTCAAATCAGACTCTGATTGGCTGCCGCTGCGCAGCTCAGATATCAGTTCACTCTTACGTAATAGCGCTAAACATCTGAGTTACTGCACCTTAGTGAGTTAAAAAGGCAGATAAATGTCGAGGAAAGGTTCACTAGAATGTTTTTTCTCGGTCAGAAAAAAAATATATAATAGGAGATACATTATCATTATTAATTTTAGCAAATTTTGATGTCCATATCTCAAATTTAACTACCACTAATCTTAAATTTAGACTAATAACACTGATTTACCATTATGATTTAAAAAAAATAAATGTTACTCAGGCCCCTTTACGTGTACTTTCTTCTTTTCCTTGCACAGATGGGCTTGATTAAATGTAATTATATTTAATTTCACTCAAGGGCGGAAACAAACGTTGAGAAGCCAAGAATGGAACTGTTCCATTAAAGTGAAAAATGGAGAGAAAACCAGTAAAATCTAATCAATTTGCAAGACACAATGTTCCTGATCCGTTTGGTATGATCTGAATATAACTGTATTGCAAATAATCATATCTTCCTGTGACTGCTTTCATTGAAATTTTTACCTTTTTTTTGTCTTTTCTATCATACCCTCCTCCTGGTATTTTATCCTTTTTATTTCTAGGCTTTTATCTGACAAAGAAAAGCATGTGTACTCAGGGTCTCCTATTAAGGTGAAATGAATGGAACATAAACATTTAACATGAACTATGTTTTGAAAAACATCCATTCAACTACAAGAGTAACATTATGAGCTGCCGTAACACAAACCCAGTCTGTTCAGTTTGTAATCACACATTTAAAATATTTATTAACTTTATGGTGGAAGCATAGATAGTACAAAAATGCATATGGTTCACATTTATGCAACAATGCAGTCATTTGTTAACGATCTTGGTTCCAGTATAAAACCAGCGCACATTTGGACACATGTACAATGAACATCAGTCCTATTTACAAAGCGCAAAAACATATAAAACATCAGTAGAAGAATAACAAACAGCAATAATTAAAAAACAAAAACAAAACAAAACAGAACATTTGTTCTTGCAGCGTTTCAAGAGTGACCTTCAAAATACCAAGGTACAGAGAATATAAAAATTACATCCGAAAATATTAAAAAATAATTTATATACTTATAAAAATCACATGTAATCAAAAAAATTCAACACGATTGATATTCCTTTCTACACATTTCTACATGGGGTAAGGCATGGACAGTTTTGGAACAATATACAGGTAGGCAAAGTTTAATCTTTCAGTGGTCGGACTACTTTGGGTCAGGCTGGAGAGCAGACGGACCTGATCGGACACAAAAAAAAAAAACAAGATTAGGTTATTGTCAGACTTTTATATTGTGCATAAATGGCAACCAAGCTCCACTAAAAACACTGTAAATACACTTAGCAGTTTAGAATAAATTCTTTTCTCTTTGAATAAACATATCTTTACACCCAGCTATCCAACTGTCAGTTATTCAGCTAACAAAACATTTAAGCATTTTTATCAAGACTATCATACATTTATGTTTATATATAGGTATGTATGGAAATAACAACATTGTAGTGACAGGTAGGGATATTTTGCCCTAGAGAGAGTATAAACAGTATGACAATACACAAGTTAGAAGATAACATTGACAAAAAAAACAGAATTAGCAAGTGCAACATTATTGGTATGTGCCACCAAAAGCTCCAATACTCAGTAGGAATCAAACACTGAAAGAACATGTGATGAAATCCTCCAACAGCAACAAAACAAATATTCACTTTTTTGAGCAAGCCATTAAAATGTGTAGCTGTAATGAAAAATCTGACCCATTAACAGCACATTATTTGCAGAGCTGTCGCACTCTGGACTTGGAGAATACATGTTCTGCAGGGTTTTGTTACGGTAATAGTTGGTGACCCACTTTTTGTATCAACTGCACCAGCTCTGGCACATTTTTGGGTTATGCTAGTTTTAGATCAAGAGCAAATTTGGGCGTCAAACACTTTACTTTCTGTGGGGAGTCCAGACGCTCCAATATACCAACACAGGGATTTTAAAACAGAAAAACTCACAATCATCATTATCCCTGTGCGTTGTCCATGTATGCTTTATTACTTGTGTTAGGCTTGAATTTGTTTTGTCATGCCAACCCAACCTGCAGGACACGTACATTCCAGACCAGAGTGTTGTCACCTCTAATGTGCTGCGTTCACTGACTGCTGACAAGTCCGTTCTGAGAAGTGCATTGTCCTGCTTCATTGTTTGGTGGAGTGAGTATGTTACACTCACACTCACCTGGACCGTTCAGGTAAAGGGGCGACAAGCAGCTCAGGTACAGCCACGTCCTATTCTCCTGCAGCCAGCGCTGCCGATAACCAACCATATCTGGGGAACAGGCTGACCGTATCCTCCTTTCCTCTTTAGGGGGCGGGGCTAAATGAGTCTCGCTTACTAGGTTGGGAGATGATAGAGCACACAAGGTTTTGTGGGATTTTGAAATATGCGTCGTTTTCCAAACAAGGTCCAAGGAAATGTGAGGCCGTCCATCACAAAAAAGAAAACAGACTTTAATCTATGGTCACTAGTCTTAAACTGTGTCCACAAATTAACACAGAAATGTGTTGCTGGCTATAGATAATGTGAAAACAGAAAATAGTGACTTAAAGACATTTATCTAATGCCAGGATCAGACTACGCAATATTTTCGTCTTTAGAAATAGTGATTGAGTCAGGAATTCTTGCCATGACTTGGTTGAGAGACATGAGATACTCCACGCAGGACATGACCTGACTTGACCTGCACTAACTTTGACTTGTGTGACCTACTTAAGGGCTTGTTCAGGCAGCAGGGAATGACTGCACTTTTTCACCTGACAGCACCAATAAGTGTTTAAAATGAAACTGAATCTGGAATTATTTATAGTCACTTGGCAGTGAAGGTGGTCTTTTTTTTTTTTCTCTTCCCAGTTAATAAAAAAAAAAAGTGTTCAGAGGGTGATGCCACATCCACAGCTGGTTAGTTTGATACAATGCTCTTGTTCCAAGAGCAAAAGACATAATTCCTTTCTTTGCCAGGCTGACAGACACTAAAAGTGGTCTGTACTCTAAAGGGGAAATGTCTCAGAACATTTTGTCTCAAGAAAAAAATAAATAAATAAAAAAGCTTGTCTGGGACATTGTGAAGAATCCCAGATGCTGCCTCAGCTTTGTTGTCTTATACCATAACACTAAAAAGGAAGAAAAAATACTTGGAAAAAACTGTTGCGCTCGATGGACCATTACCGGGCTACTATTGTGTAGTCTGATGTCGGCCTAAGAGCCAAACCACATAAACCCAGTGACCTGTAACATCTCCCAGTGTAAACAAACATCTTCCAGTGTCTTCGAGTGATTTCTATCTGGGCCATGCACTGCTCAGAGTACTGTCTTGCACAATCAGTCTGCCATGGAACAGAGTGCAATGAACAAACAGACAAGAGGTGACAGTGACCCCTATCCCTTCACCAGACAGTCTACTGTTTACTATACACCCTGTGTATCCCAAAAATATGACAACTTTTACAAGTTTCCACCATGGGGGTGCATTCAACCTATTTTTTCCAAGTTATACCCAAAGCTGCTCACCTTGTCTGGCTCCCGCCAACCGCTGCTGGACTTTCTCCAAATGATGAATATATTCTGTCAGGGATCGCTCTGGATCCAGAGATGTTCCACCTGAATGCACTGAAGCCAGAGTGGTACTGGAGTACGAGCTGAAGAGATAAGGCAGTTGTTACAGACAAAACGTTAAAATTCACTTTAGGGGTGTCTTGATATACTAATGTGGATGATAACCATGATATTCAAAAAAATGTTATATATTGATATCATGTTCATAACACACACATATGATAATATCATAAATAATTCAGAACCAATAACTATCTAGTTGACAATACAGCACAGTCAAAATGAAGTGATGGATAGCACTTTATTTAAAGTAAATAAATAAATAAATAAAATGTACAGACAGCAAAAATAATAATGTCATTGTGAATTATTTTGCCCACAATAATCATGTGGTAAAATCAGATATTGTGACAGCCCTAATATCTGTGAAGTCTGTATCTTTATGTGGCAAGTTAGAAAAAAAGTTTGTTGAAAAGGAGATCAAACCTGTTGTGCAATCTGAAGGGTGATTTGCTGGGTGGAACAAGAGATGACACAGTTTCTCTTTGGACGGCCCGACTGTCTCTGTTCTGTGGGGAGCTGGGATTTGATCTTGGCTGCTGCTGCTGCCTTAAAACTTCAGCTTTAGGCCCTGTCAGAGACATTACAATTAAAAATCCACCCACTCATGGACATACAGTCAAGTGATGCATATTTCCATAAACTGTATACACAGAGCAGACCTGAAGCGTGCCCATTGACAGTCCCAGATAATGACACTCTTCTAATCGCTTTCTGCCATTTCCTGGTCAGGAACCTCATTCTGAAAAAGATGGTGGAGTTTGTTTTTTTTCCATAAATAAGCCTCAGCTTACTATTGGATCTTTGTCGTCTGGTATATTCCTACCTTGAGACTGCTATGACGACTCGTACCACAGCCCTAAATCGTCCAAAGGGTCTGCGCTGGGAGGAGAGTGGGGGTGAGGGTCGTGCTCCCATATGAGCAATGAGACACAGTGTGGCCTGCTCACACTCCTGGAATCCTCCTAATAGCAGCAGCAGGTAACGCTTCTGGTACACCAGAGCTTTCCTGAAGCTCTCAGCACGCAGGTAGCGCTCATACAAACGCTGCAGCTGCAAAACAATAAACAGAG